CAACTTTTGCTTGTGGATAGGAGGGCTCCATCCCATGTCACCTCTCGCTCCTTCATTGCTTGTCTTTTGGCCTACTCCTAGGAATATTTTTGTTGCTTTATTTTGTACATTATTGATACAGCGATGCTCATTTAGACCAATGATTGAGGTACCATAATTTATGATTGGCTGAACTATTGTATCATATAGCTTTGTATAAACTGCATAGTCCATTCCGCCTGCAGCTTTGAATTTACATGTTAACACTGCCAGGGCACGACTAGCTGACTTTGCTATTTCTTTTGCTGTGATCTTAGCATCAACATGTTCACTTAGCCAGACACCAAGGTATTTGTATGAGTTTGCATAATCAAGTGTTTTTGGGCCACATTTGAATACATGAGTTGATCGGGGCCTGGCAGCGGGGCGGTAATGGACAATTTTAGATTTTTTCTTGCTGACTGTGAGTCTCCATTTCCGACACCATATATAGAGGGCATTCAGCATACGTTGTAGGTCCACTGCCGTCCCAGAGATGAGGGCTATATCATCTGCATAGAGTAAAATGCTAACCAGTTCATCTCCGACTTGAACGCCACATCTCAGTTGTTTGATGATGTTCGAGATCTCGTCAACGTAGATCGAAAATAATGTCGGACTCAACAAACAGCCCTGCTTCGAGCCATTGCTGACAGAAAACCATGGAGTTAAATGTCCATTTAGTCGGATCGAACATGTCACATCTTGATAGAGGGACCTAATCGCATCGAAGATTTTACCTTTAACACCAATTCTGTTTAGCTTAAACCATAGGCAGTTTCTATCTAATTTGTCAAACGCTTTAACTGCGTCCACATAGCAAACAAAAGTGTCGAGTTTAGATACTTTGCGATTGTTGATGATACTATGTAGACTTTGAACATGGTCGAGGCATCCTCTTTTTGGTCGGAAGCCATTTTGTTCATCACTGAGTTTACCATTGGTTTCCAAAAAAGTTACAAGTCTTTTATTCAAAATATCACAGTAGATTTTACATGGTACAGAGATTAAGGTTATTGCACGATAGTTCAAGGGGTCTGTTTGGTCCCCATCTTTGTATATGGGATTGATGATCCCCTTCATCCATTGACTAGGGACAACTCCACTGTTGAAACAGTCCAGTATTAGATGGTGCAATAATTTGATACATGTTTGGTTTTTCAGAGCTTCTGCTGGTATATTGTCTATGCCTGCAGCCTTGCGAATCTTAGCACGTTTGACAGCCTGAGTTACTTCCTCAATTGATATACGTTGGTTAAGGGGGCTATCTGGTTCAGTATCAGTTTGGTCAATTTCATTTACCTCTTGTTTGATTTGTTCTAAGTGTTGGTCATCAAAGTCGCTGGATTCAGTCACTTCGCAGAAAAGGGTGGAGTAAGTAGATGCCCAGTGGCTCAGTACAAAGTCTTTATCAGTGTGTATTACATACCTAGCGAAGCATTTGTATGGAAGTCAATGGAGCTGAAGGACGGCTATATATTCCTGTATAGCCGCCGAACTTTTGACCCCGCCCCTCACGGAACTACTTTCATGATCTGCTAAAAACAAAATGGCGGGCGCGAACTTTGAAAATGAAGCAAATTTTGATTTGAATCTGTCTCTCAGTCTGCTTACGGAAGATGATAATGACTGGAAGGTTGACCCAGAATTATTAGATGTGCTAGAGAATATGTCGGCAGAGGAGCGTAGTGCTCGTGAGACCCAAAATTCCAGCAGTGAGACTATTGACTTTCAGCAAAAAGCTAGAGAACTGAGAGACTTTATAGAAAAAAATGAAAAAGAAAATACCAGAATAGCAACCAGCACTGCTGTAACCAAGCTTAATAAATACCTTACATCTGTTGGTGAGGGAAGGCCTATCGAGCAGGTAAGTTTTCAATCACCAGTAGGCTAGTCATGCTAGTCCCAGTTTATTTATTTCATGTCTTTGAGAACACTGTGCAAAATGCAAATGCTACTGTAATATATTGGTATGTAGGCTATGCTATATTTCTTATTCAATTTACTTTCAGATACCTCCTAATGAGTTGGATATTCTCCTGTCTGATTTCGTTAAAAGTGTTCGCAAGGATCCAGTGAAAGGTGATGCCGTTGGAAACCAATATGAACCAGGAACACTTACGTCATACATTAATTCAATCCAGAGACATTTGAGTCGATGTGGATACCTTGCTTCTGATCTAAATGGCAACGACTTTAAGTTACTGAAAACCACACTTGCAACGAAACGCAGAGAGCTCACGTCAATGGGTAAAGGAAATAAGCCCAACGCCACAATCCCTTTAACAAATGCAGAGATTGACCAGCTGTGGGAGTGCAATGTTCTTGGAGAAGAAAACCCATGGTCACTACAGTTTACGGTCTGGTTCTATATTTGCCAGCATTTTGGATTCCGTGCAAGGGATGAGCACAGAAAATTATGCTGGGGAGATATTTTGCTGAAGGAGTTACCAGATGGAACTGAGTATCTAGAATTAGATAAGAGTAGAGGCTCAAAGTGCAGAGATGGTAGTGTCCCTGCTAAAGATGATAATCGCAAACTGCCCCCTAGATGTTTTGCAACTGGTGATCACAGATGTCCTATCAAATTCTATAAGTCATTCAAACAGCATAGAATTCCATCGCTCTGCTTAGAGGATACCCCATTTTATCTGTCCACCATCCCAGTCAAGCGAATCAAAAATCAGTCATGGTATTACAAAGCACCACTCGGCAAAGATTCATTGTCTAAGCTACTGAAGACAGGTTGCGAGAAGGCTGGAATCAATCCCGAAAAACATAGCAATCACGCAGCTCGAAAAACTTTATGTCAAAATATGACAAAAGCGGGTCTTCCTATGGAAAAAATGACACAAATTACCAATCACAAGAATCCCAAAAGCTTCCAAGACTATCAGAATGCAATAGACCTCGAAGAACACCGCAAAATTTCAAACATAATTTCAAATCCATCAACAGTGCCCAGAGATAATGAGAACAGTACTTCAGAGACTGACCATAACGATGTACAGAATGTGCTGAAGCAGATATTTGGACCATCTTCATCTACATCTGGACAAGTATTCCAGAACTGCTCTTTCAATATTAACATTAATATGGCCTCAAGTAAGACTGTCAGTGAAACATTAGTCCTTTCTCAAGAGAGCAGCTCACCTTCCAGGAAAGTACCCAGACTGTCTCTAACGCCAAGTCCATGAGTATTATTTCAACATTCTCATAATATCAATGAGCATAAAATAACTGGATTATAAAATCTTTTTGGAGTTATATAATTTACTAATTACTATGGATTTACAAGTTATTTAATCACAGTTCCAGTTTCAATTGTACAAATCAAGTGGCAGATTTGTGAGTATTAGCTTAATATAGTATTTTATCATTCATTTGAGCTAATTGTTATTGTTATTTTCTGCATTTCATTAGAACAAAATCGCTAAACTTGTGAGGCGATCCCTCAATATTGAAATCCACAAGTTTTGGGAATACCGGGAACTATATTCTGAGACTACATAATTAACTTAAAAAATTACAAATTCATCGCTTGAACTATTGGTATAATACTTAGATTTATAAAATTCATTTAGTTTGAAGCTTATTTATCGCAAACATCGCTCGATTCATTCGAAGACAAGTACATTCAAAACGTTTGCCATCTACGTGACGTAGCGCGCGGATGAATCTCTCGAACTCCGTAATACATGTAAACAAAGTGATTCGGTCAAATTTCGATTCGAATCGTGTAAATAATCAATTTTTGTCTTTTTTCACGCATTATTCTACATAATACCTTCATGGAATGCAATGAAAATGTACTTTAGGTATGTAATACATCAATTATGTCCGTATCATTGAATATATGCCTTCAGTCTGTCGCCAATATAACCCTCGCAAGCTCGGGCTATATTGACGTCAGACTTCAGGCATATATTCAATGATAGGGACATAATGGCTAAGACTTTCACCGTCTTTGTCACGCACCTCCCATGGTATATTTTGCTTCCTTTCATTTGCTATGCTGATTTTGTCAATATTTTTCCAGAATTCAGCTGTATTTGTACTATAAGAGTCCAGAAGATTAGCTTGCTCTTGCTGTTGGTATTTCCTTTTATGTTTACGAAGAAGCCTGTCAAAAATGCGGCGCTCAATACAATATACAGACTTAAGGTGTTTACGTTGGTGTGTTTGACATTGTAACCATTCTTTTTCTTTATCATTGACTGTATTCCACTGTGTTTGAAGTTCATTACACCAATAAGGTTTCTTAAATGATTTTGATTTTTTACCTCTGGGTTTAACTGAGATTTTTTCATATACTCTGTCCATTTCAGTAGTTATCATAGAGACAAATTGATCATATGTGGCATTTATCCTTACTGAGTTATCAACAGATGCACTAATACGATTTATGGCATTCCAAACTTCAGTAGATATTTGATCACTCATCATAAAATCATCTGGGGTAGATTTCACTTTATATCGTTTATCAGGAGATTGAACATGATCTGGACATTCATTTATAAACACTGGCATATTCAATGTACATTGCACTACTGAATGATCAGGAATATTTTGAGGGGCATTCATGCTATTGCTGTTTATCAGATCAGACATTTTATGCACGTAATAGTAATCATAAATGCATTTCTAAATTGATATAAATATCTTGGAGTACAACATAGCTGTTTGCATTTAAGTTACAAATAATATGTTTTTTTTCCTCGGTGATTTCATGGCAATTAAATAGACAGTGACCGGAAATGTTTAATGTTCAATCTTGTTTTCATGACTTTTAAACATGAATAGAAAATGATCTCGGCAAAGTTTATTACATTATAAGAATTTGATTCAAGTCCACTTGGTACCTGAATAAAACACATGAATGAAAAAGCGTTACCAAAGAGATCTGACAAAGGCTAAAATATAAATATGAATGTTTAAAGATTAAAATAAAATGTATGTTGTTGGATTGTTTTTAATTGTAGGCATCGGACGTTAATATATTTGTTGCCATGTTTAGTCGTGAAATGGGGACTGATCTTGGATGCCAGGTAATCCTCATTTTACTAAAATGTCAATTGAAATTGAATGGGATAACCCATTTTTCACAATTGTCCTTCAGAATTCAGCAATTCGAATAAAACTATATATACCCTTTGCATTCGTTTGACTTCACTTCTTAAAAGAGAGCTCCGTCTTCTGTAGTTTAACTAGACTCTGCACGCAGGGTAAACTATATACCGAAATCGTAATTGCCTCTCCCTGTATATATTATGTACTAAAAGTAGTAAATTTTGTATGAGTAAATTGAGATTCAATTTTGTGACATACGATTGTCTACAAATTCCAGATATATAAGTCTGGGATGTATGGCCGGAGGTATCAATGGATTTACACAATGGACACAGAAGACTGGTTAGATGTAATTAAAGCAAAGCAATGTACTCCGGAAGAGGTACAAATGGCATTTGACGGTTCGATCTATATCGGCATGGACCTGCTAGGCTCTGAAAATGCAACTGATACCGGAATGGTATGAGATGTAATTTGCCGCTCCATTTTTATTTACGTTTACCAGTAACCTGCTAGTTATCCTAGCTAAACCTAAACTCTAATAAAGTATAAGTTTATTATGTTTCTTTCATTGATGTTTTAGAATTCCAGTGAATATAACACAATGATCCAGAGGAAAGCACGACTGGCGTATCCAAATGACACACGTTCCACGTCGCCGTGGTCCCCTCTATCCTTCGACGCTATGTGGACGATTGCTCTTACGTTGAATAATTCCATAACGAGGCTTGCTGAACGAAATAGATCGCTTGAAACGTTCTCATATCAGGATAATGTCACCAGTAGCGTATTCTTTCAAGAAATGAGAAAGTTGGAATTCATCGGTGTCACTGTATGTTTACAATTACATTTTGGTGACTGCGTCCAAAGTTATTGTGTTTTGATGTGCTTTCTTGAACTCTCTACAAAAAACTACAGTGCATGGTGTTGAAACGCTCCCCGGTTGACCTGGAGGCGCGTTGATGTTGAGTTACGCTTTGATTTACATATGATGTGTATGTTTGTTCAGGTAGAGCTGCGCTGAGTTTTGTCTGTGTTTAGGATTGTGCCATTCTCAGCTTTTGCCATGGAGACAGGGGGCGTTCGAAAAATTCCCAGGGGTCCAAATTCTTGGACGATTCTTGCCCAAAATCGCTTGGAAAGTGCTGGTGAAAAACGACATTTTAAGAGAATTTTGAGCCAGGGGGATCCCCCGACCTCCACCCTCTCCCTTGCTTTCCCTCTCTTGTATATGTCACTGTTTCTAAAATATGTAGCAAAGATAAAATGCAACAATCAATCATCAGTATTCATTGTCCATCAGTAGTTTAATTGTTCACTTTATTGTTTTGGCTTCATTTTACTAAACATAATTTATTGTCTATTCATATTTTTATCTTTCAATGTATAGTTTTGGCTCTGCTTATGATTAATCTCTGCCAGTAATATACATATAGGGTTAAGAGAACTTCATGAACGATTGAATGCATAATATAATGTTGGTGTTCATTAAAATCTATAGATATATTTTTGATTGTTTATGTATTACTTTTGTTATTTTGTTATATTTATATAGGGCCCGGTGATGTTTACAGACAGGGGTGAAAGGACTACAATTATTTACATCAGGCAAATGCAAGGTATTATATACAAATCATTTTCCCTAGAAATACCGTGTTTAAAGCTTTAAACATGAAGTATGTTTCATTTAAAAAAAAGGGTTTTGTATAACTTTTGTTGTTGTGTTCATACGTTCATACTTTTAGTTGAAAATTGATATTCAAAAAATCATTTCAATATTATAGAATCTTAGAAGGTAGAATGTACCTAAGGTATGAAATACATCTGTACAGTCGGTTTTTGTTTAGCTACAATATATATATTCCTAATTACTAGTGAACTGTATGTCTATATGTCTATCTCAATCCGCCACTGCTGTCCCTGTAAATTCTGTATTCAAAACCTTACATAACCATTTTTATTTCATACTTAGAAGTGTTATAGGTAAATAACAGGCATGAATATAATTGATATCTGAAGTGAGAAAGTGATGTATATATATCCCCGCTGATACCACCCGCTCATCAGATCTACAACTTCACAAATTTAAAGAGTAGACACTGAGCCAGGGGACTTGATCATAAACCCTCATAATCTACTAAGTATAGAATAAATCAATTATTAAATGCTCGATTACTGATAAGGGTATATCCCTCGGTTAATACAATATATAATTTAAATTTAAATTTAATATAATTTGATATATTGTATTTCCCTCAAATATACTTTGTATCAAAAACCTCCCATTAAATAACCTCTATATATGCATCCCATGTCGGCTCGCAATTAAAGAGTGCATATAAAATATAGGAAGAGTGGACATGCACGAAACTAACGATGTTGTTTTATACTCATAGGAGGAATCGCACACAATCTGGGGCAAATTCTTCCTGGGGATAGCCTGATATCTCTAACAAAAATTCCAAAGTTTAAGGGTGAGTTTGATGATAATTGCAAGGAGTAAAAAGTATGATGATACTAACTCCAGTAAAAAAGTTCAAAACATTTGATTTCCTGATCGAATAAGAATCAGATAGCAATAAAGATTTTTAGAATAACGGCATTGTTAAATCATTCATTTGCCAAGTGCGCAATAAGGCCCAGACGTTACAGGGGCTAGTTTATATACTCCCAACAACGATGATTTATGGGTATAATATGCATTACACAATCTCACATGGCTTTTATTTGCTTTTTCAGGTGGAAGTCCCCCTCTTGATAAAGTGGTGAAGATGCTTGATTACATACAAATTCAAACCTCTCTGTTTGTCTTCATGTGTACATTGTCTCTGATCGGGTTGATATTCATAGTGGCTTGCATCTTCTTTAATGTTACCTTCAAGTCATACCGGTTAGTTTTCTTCTTAAGGATGTTCCCTGGTCAGATAGGAAAATATTCAATAGTATTTAACTTTTTCTCAAAAATGGTTTTCTGGGATTCTCACGGGCAACAAAGAATATTAAAACTTTAAAAACCATATGTTAGTGTGCTTTTTTCTGAGCAAGAGGCCTCTAAAGTGTCAATATTTGACAAAAGTGGGCGTGGCACTTTCTCATTGAAACCCATGTTAAAAATCAGGTTTTCACCCCAAAACACACTTTTGAATATTTAACTTTTTCTTAAACTCACAGAAACACTTAGTTATGCTATGTACTTCACATTTTTAAAAGAAAAATTAGGGGTTGGTGTTCATCGTTTTCAACTTCGTCCAGGGAACATCCTTAAGTCGTGCTGTTCGTATTATACCATACAAGCGTCTTACCATCAAGGTAAATGAAATGAGATATGATGTACTCTATAATAACCTGAAAATCTTCTTTTATGTTTGAAGACGATTAAAATGCATTGTATAATCTATAATGCATATATGTCAATTCTGTTTTAGGCAAATCAAGATGTCGTCCCCGAATATGAATACTTTAATATCCATCGGGTGCAGTTTGGCGTATATCAGCGTAATCCTACGGGGGATTAATGGCTCAATCCTGAAAGAGCCGCTAAACATTATGTGCAATGTAAGTAGTTAGGACTAGGGGTATAATTTCAAGTTTGGGATATGACTTATTTTACGCTTATCATCAGTTTATATTACTACTGCTGAAAACAATATTCCACAAGGATCTCGTTATCGTCTATCTAATTATCGTGTTGATTTCTAATTAATATCGATGGCCTTAAATTAGAGGATAATACACTTCGCTGTTACAGTAACAGCTTCTTTATTAAAATGGACGTGTCTTCCTTCAAGCTATCTACCTGGTCCCTTTCTCTGGCCTTTACCTTGTCATTCGGCAGTTTATTCTCAAAGACGTGGAGGGTTTACGTAATATTTACCAACAAGGCTGTCAAACGAAAGGTATGTTGTGCAATTTTAAAAGTATGGGAAGCTGTGAATGGGTGTTCAGTAATATTTTTGAGGCTGTTTGACGAGAGACATCAAAACAGGATACTTGGTATTGATCCCCTAGTGGGTTAAACAACTGCACACACTCAATATGAAAACAAAGTGACCAAGCAAGTTTATAATGTATTGCTCGAAACAGTTAGGTTATTACTTAATGGGAAAATGATAATGTTATGTTTATGCACTTTTTAACCGGTTCACCACCAATAATTTAAAAAATGGTATGTGGGATGTGCCCGCCAAATCTCCCACTCAGGTATACATTGTATCTTCCCACTTCCGGTAATTTGACTAATTTCACTCCAACTGTGATGTGAAACTCTACTAGGTATGGGATAAACCAGTTGCGGACGGTCGGTTTGGAAATAGGGTTTATTACTACGTTCCCTCAAGTAGATATGCATATCTCCCTTTGGATAAACACCATATCCAAAAAAAAACATTACATAACTCTTATTTACCTGTCATTTACTACATCAATATCAAAAAGTAAATCGCTTTGGCTGCTAAAAAACTTTCGGTGGATTTCCTGGAAATGTTTCAATAAAAAACGATAATAGCTTGTTCAAACAAAAGGTAACGTTGTCAACATTTTGAAGGAAATCTGTATAACAAACATATGCATGAATGATTTTTATCTGAACATACCATTTTCAGGCAATAAAAGATATTCACCTAGTCGGCATAGTTGTCTGCCTTTTATTTCTGGATGTGTTATTTTTATCTCTATGGGCTGGCCTAGATCCACAAAAGGTGCGACGGAGGGACCTTTTAAAAGAGGTACGTGTAATAGTGAATAACTGCAATAGACTAAATGCAAGTAGAAATCATTTTGATTCTAATCATTGAATATTCAATATGTTGTCAAAGTGATATCATATTTGAAATCTAAATTTAAAAGTACATCTTGAAATATAGTTTTAAAAGTTGTATATCAAATTTGAAATTATACCTGCTTTAAAAACGTGACTTCTGGGTCTGGTAAATTCCCGACACCTATGTTATAAAATCATGAAATGTGAAACTTTTTCCTGTATTGGACAGCTATATTTTACAATTGTATAAATGTCAAACTCAAAAAAGTCACAAAGAAAACAAAAAGGTCAAAAAGAAAATTGATCCCAAATCTAATATTGCAGTTAAGAGTATTTTTCTTATATCTGCATTGTCATTTGATCCGAAATAGTCACATGATGGTGAACCTGCTATACGTACTGGCACTTTGATAGTTGGTCATAAAATGGGCCATACTTTGATGCTAATTGCATGTAACTCCATTATCCTTTGTCGAACCATTCAGAACTTTAGATAATGGTATGATGTTGTTAATATACAGATCAATTTCCTCTGTTGGGGACAAGGCGGAATTTCTTGGAAAATGTTTCACTGAAAGTGTGGGACAAAAATTGCGTTTAAGGTTTTCGGGAAAACTGGAGTAAAACTTCCCTTAGTTAACAATGTAATCAGAAAGTTGAAAGAAAAGTATTGTGGAAAAGTCGGACAGGGAGTGGATGGCAAGAAATTGTCTTTAAGACTGTAAGAAGGGAAGTGGTTCTACATGATAGAAAACATTCGCAGATAAGTTGATGATAATTTTTCGACGGAGAGTGTGAAGAAAAATTGGCTTCACGTATGAAAAAAAATGAAAGACGTCATTTTGAAATGTTAAGAACATGTGTTTTTGACTCTTTATTTTGATTTTGGTCCAATGAACAGACATATTAATATATGAAAGAATTTGTTCTGTATATTTGATGGCTTTTTAGTGTTTTAATTCTTAGAAGCAGAAGTAGTTTTAGAAATATCGAGTGTCAAACTACGACCCATTTTATGCCCATTCCGTATATTATTGTAACAAGCAAATTCCTTTAGTTCATTTGAAAATTATTTCAATATGATATAGTCCAAAAGATTGATGTACACTGAAATGGGCTCATGAAGTCCCTATTTTTGTTTTTATTACACAATGGCATTATCTCGTATGATATCTTACACTATCCACTACATGCATATGCATGCTATTGTAGTACGATGAAAACACGGATGTCTTGCGAATTCCCTACATTTATACATGCGAAGCAAGACACAAAGCTTACTGGTTAACAGCCATTTACAGTTCGAAAGGTAGGTGGCCATTATATCCTGTTAGTTTTAGATTACTGAAAAATAGATTCAATTCATCTTGATGAAAAGACAAAACAAATTGTTCAAAATATTTATGGAGTGTGAATGGAATGCGTGAAGGACTAAACCAAGCAGTGATTGTTACACTGTAACTATGTATTGTTTAATGTTAAATTGATAATGTGTTCTGTTTTTATAGAATTTAATAGAACATCCTTGTGCTTAGAGTTGTTAAGAGGAATGTTATTTGAGTTCAAAGAAAAAATGAAACCTATAACCCGATCTGTTGTCATTAAGAATATACTTATATCGGTTACTATAGTAGCGCGATTAATGTTACCCCATGACGTTAGGGAAATACAAATGTCTATTAATGGGTTCAAGACAATCTGGCAAGGCTAACGAGAATATTTGTCAAAAGATGGATTGAAGAGGTTGAAAGTAATGTGCATCTATAGTTTTTTTTCTGTTAAACGAATAAACTCTGGTTAGTCAAGAGCTTGTGTTTTAGTAACGCTTAAAGAGTTCGGGTCTCCTAAAAACACAATTAGAGTAACCCCCTGATTTTTTCGTGTTATTTGATTTAAAACAAGTTTGTTTATCAACTTATCAATTTTGAGGCTTGAATTAATTTGTTAACAGTATCAATTCGATCTTCCTAGCCATGAATTTCCACTTACATCAATAGAAATTCAAATTTAAATTTAAAAAGCCCGCTCAAATTTGTTCCAGTCTGATTGGCTTTTTCCTTCAGATTATTTTGGCTCAGAGAAGCCATATTTATTACTTCTAAGGGGTTACAATATAGATAAATCCCCCCAAAAACATTGTATTCTGTTTTCGACTTATTGTGTTCAATTCTGACAGTTGGTTGTTCTTTTGGTTGTCCTGTTGATATCCTCAATATATTGGTGATATCGTGCTTATAATTTGGTCTCGAGATATATCTATATATGATGTTTTATGAGCAATTATATTGGGACATTACTGATTGTCCAGAATAGAAATCTAGACGACTCATATCTTTAAATCATCTACGGAACGTACATGTTCAGATAAATATAGACACCAAAAAAGGCAAATAGTTGTGTACTATTTTATTTTCATTATTAATTAAATGTTAGATCGCAGTGCTAAAATAAATGTATTATGATTAAATAAAAACAATTCGGTCCGAAGTTGCGGGTGAGCATATTTCGATTAAAGATAAATTTATAAAATTGATCAATTTTTAAAAATGTTCGAAACAATATATATGCTTTTCAGGCCTTTTACTCATGTTCGGAATTTTCTTTGCTTGGCAAACACGGAAAGTGACATTGGTTGCGTTGAATGACTCCAAAGAGATCGGATTGTGTGTTTACAACGTGATGGTAATGGCCGCGGTAGGTGTACCAGTTGTGAACTTCATGGACAGTGAACAGGTAGCTATGGGTCCATAAAGAGATGAACTCTTGTTAATTTGATAAAACATTTAGAAAAATCTGTGCGATATGTGCGATACGAATTCGTTTTTTGATGTGTCTAACTTCGTATGTTTATCTGTAACTAACAGTAACTGAGAGTCGATCAACAACAATATATTTTGTTTTTGACTTGTCTTATACTTTTTCTTTCTGTAGGTTGACATCCTATATGGTCTTGAGGCTACATGTATCATTCTCTGCACGACAGTTACCCTGTTATTGGTGTTTGCGTCGAAGGTGAAATTTAGTCTTTTTACTTCGTGCTTTTAGCACCCCCTCCATAAATTTGGTAACTATGCACCACCTTCTTGATCGCGTGTTAAAGCATGTATATACAGGGTGTCCCAGAACTCATGAGAATTCTTTGAGGGAGATATAAGGCATGGATGGTTTTTCCTCAAATTTGGTACACTCATTAAACACATTTGAATTCTACATTGCCACAAACCCTGGAGTAGTCAGAGAAATACAACAATTTATGTCACATTTTGATAATATTTACACAACTTCTCTACCCTAATAACATTGTTTTCATTAAATTATTTCAGCGTTTCAGTAAAACGTAAAACTTACCGCATGAAAAAATTTGATTTAATTTGATGTTAGCAAGGTCAGTTTTTTAAAATGTTTTTTTTCTTATTACGGTTATTAATCCGGACATGCGCAGTTGTTCATAATGAACGCTATAAACAGAGAATTATTACTACATTTTTTATATCCACACCAAATTATTAACACATTTTAAACCACTTTCGTTCTTAATTTCCAATTTTTTGAAGGAATTCGTGTTCAAAATATTATAATAAATATTTGGAATTAATTCTAGTTATCACACGCTTTTGATAAGCAAAACTTGACAGCGTACACCATCATCTATTTTGTTTGAAAGGGGAAAGGAAAGTAGAAATATATGAGAGAAATTAACGGACGTAAGAAAAGTAAATCGGAGAAAATAACATTTCATTTCAAATTTCATTTTCCGATTGAAATCGATGGCACATGATAGAGGATCATTCAAAAGACAACAAATACGTCTTATCACTAAAATATTTCCAAACATTGCATGGGGTCTTTTGATATACATTCGTCTTATTCTAGTAATACTAGTATATTACCTTGTCAGTGAAATGAATTAACTTAAGCAGCCTTTTTAGGAATATTACACAAGCCAATCACGCACGGTAAGGTTACACTTGATGCAAAGGATGGATGAAACGTTACATCACTTTCCTTTTTATGATCACAAAGTAATTGCAATGTCATATGTTCAGAAATATATTGCAGGTGTCATATTAGTATTAATATGTTATAAGAAAGGCTATTTATTAGTGGAGATCAATGGAAAGATTATGACGTCCAGAATATCCAGTCTGTCAAAAGGTCATATTTATATATTCTTCTAGAATTTCACGGGATGTCACCGCAAAGACGAGAAATATATTTTTTTATTTTTAAACATCTGAATAAATGAAGGCGTACTTATTTGAAGTAGCAAATATTTTTATCAGTATATAGACTATCCAGGGTAATTATCAGAGGAATTGTCTAGAATGTTCGCGTCTTTTTCAATAATTTCGCTTTTTTCTGCAAAAAGTATTTTGAGAAGAAAAAAACATCCTGGTTTATCAGGGTCTCTCTTTATCTAAAGCTCAGTGTCAAGGGATAGGAGAGATTTGGATCGCATTGGTTAAAAACAAAATGTGTAAATTCTTGACATTTCTTGTGGTAGAGATTAAAAGGTGGATTGGATCTAGTGGATTGGATTCATGTAAAAGGTGGATTGGATCGGGAGTCTTCAAAGTATGGAATTTCTTATACGATTTTTTCTGTTGATCTCCCTCTGTTGATTTCCCTCAACAGTATTACAGATCCCTTTTGAGAAATCAGAACAAAGCAATGATAAATACATACTCCAATTAGTGCATGGATACTCTTAAGTATTTAACTGCTTTCCATTTTAAACATTCAAATTTTTGTGAGAATGTTCGCAAAACATTTCTGCTATTCTCAGTTTGGATTGAAAACATGATATGGATCTTCAAACCAGTCTGCCTTATGACTTATGAAAAGTCTAAAATTACCCTTGGAATGAAAATAAGATTGTGTATCGGAGAGCAGGTACAAGGTCACCCTTCTAGCCCGCCCATGCAAAATAATATTACAACTATTATTTGACATTGTGGAAGTGGGGAGAGCAACAATCTTCTTAGAGGGAGATCAATAGAACTTTTTAAGTAAAATCCATATTTTGAAGATTCCCAATCCAATCCACCTTTTTCATGAATCCAATCCACTCGATCCAATCCACATTTTAATCGTTACCTTTCTTGTGAACGATCGACCCCTTCCCATTCACAAAAATAAGCCAAGACATTCCATGAATTCATATGTTCATAAAATTTAAAACGCCAATGGAATAGTCAAATCAATGTTCCACAATAGAACTAATATAATATTAGAATTGTTTATAAAAAATGAGAAATGTATGCTTTTAGATGTATAGTATCTACCAGTATGGCGATCACATGACTGGAAACAGGCGTGTAGTACCGTCAGACGATAATCAAAAACCAGGACCTAGCAATTCGAGCGCCGCTGGGAATGTTGATCATCTCAAATGTAAAGTGGAGATGATAAAATTGAATGACAGGATTCAAAAACTACAGGTATAGTGCCGATATGTACACGTGGACAACCTTAAATTCAATTTTGAATATGAATACTCACAATGACCCCACGCATTGTAGAACCTATATTTGAACTGGACTAAAACATACCTTTAATCAGAAATTCTTCTTAAATGAACATTATTTGTCTACATAATATCTAATGAACATCCTAAGAAAGAAATTACCTGTAAACTTCTCATATAATACACTGGGTGATCCTTAACCCTGCCTCCCTCGCTAAATTCCTCCTACAACCCAATACCCTTCATTTATCCTTACTGAATCTTAATGACGCATGCAGAATGACCAAATGTTTCTTTAAAGTCCCCGTCTAAAGTTTGAAAATATTTTTTTTATCATTCATTTACTATTTGTCAGGACTTAAAAAGTGATTTTAGAGATTTTTGAACAAAAAATTTTTTTTGAAATTTCTTAATCATCAAATATTTCTTAATGCTTTTCAAAAAAGATTATCTTTTTAACACCAATGCAAAGATTGAACAAAGGACACACTATTTCAATAATAAAATGCCATATTTTATGGGCCACTTCAATGTTTTAGCATATCAAAAATATTTTGAAACATTAGTGATGTCACTAAGGTAACAAAAACTTTTTGAAAAAAATTAAAAAAAAATTTTTGATGTCAATCTTTTCTAAATATGCTAGACTTTCATAAAAAACCAATGTTGATTGTCTAACCAGGTTAAAAGGAAGAATAAATTATGTTTTAGATATCATTGTACCATTGGTTTCTATGAGAACTAAAGTTTTGAAATGCATTTTTCTCAGAACCATTTTCATGCACTGATAAGTTCATTTCTCGCTTGTTTATCAACCGATTTTCTTAATTTTTTCGGCAAAAAACATGAGAGGATGAATGCTATGCATTGGTATGAATTGTGGCTAATTAGAAGATATGAGTGACCTCTAAAAGTTGGTTTTAAATAAATTCACAAATTTTGGAACAAAAAGTCTATCAAAAACCACTTTTTGAAATTAAAAAAAAAAGTTTCACATATCACACTTTGATAACATTGGGTAAGACTACAATATAAGCCAAAGTGGTTTAAACTTTACATGGGGCCTTTAATAGAGAATATAGAGAATATATGTTTTGTATACAAACAGGTTGCCTTGAATAGAGCTGGCTTTCAAGATGCAGCGATCGCTTTTAAGAATGATGATATTGAAACAATCGAAGATATTGCCACCGTAGACCTTGTTGAGAATGTACCACCAGGTGTTTTGTGGACAAATGTTGAATCCATAAACAGTAAGACGCTCGCCAATCCAGTCACTGAATAAATGGATATTATAGAACATGCTATGGATATATAATGCTCAATATATATATGTACAGTATAATGCTAAATTATTGAAAATCGCTCTGGAAATAAATCAATTAAAGTTGGATTGAGTGACACGACGTCTGAACTTGTACAGGAAGTCGAGGATACCGTCAGAGTGGAATAATTAACAGTTGAATGAATATTCCTATAAGTGGTACCATGTTTCGTACTTCCATTTTTCCCGAAAATGTGATAGTGTCATGTGCTCCATATATATTCTGTAAAAAGAAACAACAATACAGTATTATATATATAATATAAGATTATTCACAATGCTACTTAAGTGTAATTATATTATTCTTAAACCCCACTTAGAACTTATGCACGCTCAAAGTTAGCAGGTTATGCCAAATTGAATAATCAACAATTTCAAGTTTAATTTGTTTTTGTCTTTACCATTCATATTTCAAGATGTACAGCAAATACCAATTAGTGAGTTAGTAAGAAAATAGTTAAATTCTTGACTTGGTATGATTTCAATATAATTTTCGGTCAACAATTTTGCCCAGCAACCACCTGGCAACGGCTAGGTGGGTGGGGTAGGGGACCATGAATAAAATATATTCAAAATTTGGAAAAGGGTATCATCACGATTCTGTTAACACAGTGTGCATAAACATTTGGAAATATGCCAAAAAGTATTTGTATTGCATGATACATTCATTTTTATAGAAGTGTCGCCATCTTTTAAATCAAATGTAATTTAAAACATGCACTTTGTTTAGACTACTAATGTTCTCTGAACTTCAAATGGTTTTTTCTATGTGAGCTATTTTTTCTTGGTTCAATATTAAAGCAAATCAAACTTTGTGTCATATTTGAGCGAGTGTGTGAGTAATATTTTTCAATGGTTATTTTTTCTTTTTCTTCTAAATTAAGTATAGTGGACCTTTAAATAAAAAGAAAACGTTTTTCGAGCCTCTAATCTATTGAATGAGATACTAGCATTTGTTTCACATTGTCAACGGTACCTACAACTGCCCTTGCCCCCAAGCAATATACATTTCTTTGTGAAAGTTTCAACATTATATAGACCATCACTGTATACAAACGGTTCTTCGTAATGTCATATCTTACAAGTCTTGTATGTTTGCAAATTTGTCCATACAGTATATGGTATTATGATAAAATCCCATTGAATAAAAAGCACGTGGATACATTTGGGTTTCAGTTCATTCTACTTTATTTTTTTGTGAGGGAAATAGCATCTTCTTTTGTATATGGCGTTGGACTGACATTTATTGACTTGCTTAGTTTTATTATGATCTACCATTTACATAGTAGGAGGTTAAGATACACGTTTCTTGAAACGTGAACGTGTAGAATTATGGTACACTGTGGATTATAGTTCTCCCATTTGTAGTTTAACTTGTATTGGCCGAGTGAGCCGGAAAAAATTGTAATTAGGTCTATGGAAAAGTGAAATGAGAGTGGGATAGTAATCCGCTGGTGTCGAAATATTACACACTCGTGTAGAGGTTCTCTTAAAACGTGTAACTTAACCTCCCTATTAGTGGTTTCCATTGTCTGAATAATATAATAAATCGGAATATATCGATCACCATGGGTTTCCCTTTACAATTATGTAATCCGTATTACCTGGGTAGGTTATTTAAACATTTTTGGAGAAGTGGAAATGATTTGAAATAAGTATTTTTAATAAATATTAATTTTTTTATATTGTTAAAGCTATCACCCCTTTCTCTGAATATCAATTGCTCCGTCTATCACTGAAAGATAATAAAAAGAACAGTTGAAAACATCCGATTTGTAATTTAATTCGAAGAGGCACTTATCTTTCTACCTGTGGATATGTATTGGAGTAATACCTTTGTAGTATATTGCTTACTTGTATTCCATAAATCACTTGGGAAACTGGAGGTCCCCCGTGGATTTAATCAAGGTAGTGTCTTAGAAGTTTTCATTCATACTGAGGGTACTAACAAGAATTAGGATCCACGTTGAGTTGATCAAGGCTGGGTTTGCTCATGCACGTAATACGTGCACTATATATACCCAGTTAACTCGTGGTATCAAGAGGTATGGTGTGTACCCGTGTAACAAGCTGGAATTGCTATCAACCAAGATGGTGGACAAATTTTCGTTCGATATTGATAAATATTTAATTAAACTAAGTAAAGTCTGGATTCCAGATATTTCGTCAAACTGCTGGTAAAGTACTTATTTTGTAATTATAAAAAAAGAAGATGGGGATGGTACTCAAATAAGATGGTACTCAAAAGTATACCACCCTGCTGTGGACTAGTGATAACTTTAATCATTCCCCTCACTGGAGGCTTAGTTAAGACAACATTAGGTAGTTTCCTTAATTAATCGAGAGAATTTTTAAGATTGAAAGCGTTTCTCATGTTGTTTTCATTGTTCTATTTATATGAAATAAGATATTTGCAAAACTGTTTTTGCAGAGGGTTACTGTTATGCGTGTCTCTGTGTTGTAAATGGTAAGTTAACATTTCATAACATTATAATATCCCTTAAAAAACTAATGTGATTCAGGATATTTGTTTATTTTGCGTTTTGACGGTTTAGTTCTTTTTTTAAATATTAAGTTTATATGATTTAATTACATCTGTAAACTCCCCACCAAAGGTTTGACATCCCAAGTCTCACTATTAGTATGGTATGCTATGGTATGGTATGGTTCTTTATTTCCTCCAATTTGGAGAGCAAACAGTCAACAACAGTCGAGAACTGTCCGGGTATTTTTTCGATATTTTGACTTTTTAAAAGATTCGTTTAAAGGAGGTAAATAGTTCAAGCTTTTTGGTGCCGTTGAGATAAGTCTAAATGCTAAGATAAGTCTTAAGTCCAATTTCCTATATGGTTAAATACTTTTGACTCCATTCTTGATAAGACTAATACAGACAATCGTACATTCCAGAAATCGAGGGTGATTTGGGAGAACTGAAACACGATGACCCGGATCTTGAAAGTAAGGTGTACGAGACGATGGATACAATATGTGCTGGCAGGCACTACGTGTCGTATGAATACATCCCCCCGAAGATGGTCAAGCTTTGCCAATATATAACAGGTTTTTGATTATTTTATAAGTTACTGTAAATATCTTAAGATATTTGTACTTTAATTATTTGAGAAAATATATAGTAACTACTTAGTGATGCTGTAATGGTAGAAATGGCAAGTTCATTTGAAAAGGGGACATCCATTTTCAAAGACTACCCTATAACGTTCAAAATCAAGGGATTGTCTCAACTCGTGTTTATTCCTTTGACAATCAATTTCATTTATATACTATGTCATTAATATTTCCACTTCCTTTTTAGGGTATCTCGAAATGAAAAAATTGACATGATGTGAGGATGATACTTGCATTTTATTTTGTTGTTGCAAATAAATCTTTCGTTATTCCAGAGAAAGATCCAGAATCAATGGAAGATCTACTGCTAGAACATTACAAGACAGAAAACAGGCAGTTAAAAGAGTTAGAAAAAGTTCTATGTGTTGATTTGATTGAGACGTGTTTGGAGGATTCGCCATCTCGTAGCGAATACGAGACGAGGAATCGTGAGCAACGTGGTTCAACGGTATGATAAAAATTAAAGAATTTGACATAATTTTATTTTGAGGCTACATGTGAATATATTATTGTTGTAATATGGCTGCAATTTTGAGAAAATGTAACAAATATTTTACTCTACAAGTACCCATCAGGATGAAGACAACTGCCTTCTTAGCAACTCAAAAGATATATGAAGCATGTAATTGTATTATATGAAACTACTATAATTATTTTACGGCCTTTTAATTAAGACACTCTTTTAGACAAATACCTTCTAAGAAACACAAAGACGATATCATAGGAAATTCGTATTAAAATAAAATCCTTCTATGTAATCCTATTAGACAAATGTCTTCAAAATCAAACTAGAAAAATATTTTATAAGAAACTCTTTATTTTCCTATGTGAATTACATCTGTTGATGTGTATATTCTATTCAAATGTTGTCTTCTATTCGTTCACGTCTGTTACAGAAAGCACGGGTTGTAAATATGGATGGGTCGGAAAAGGAATTTGACGTTCCACTGGCTAATAGTCAAGAAGATATTGACAAGAAAAAGAAGGAAAGAGCGGAACGAAAAAAGAAAGCTGAAGAAATAGAAAAGAAGGAAGAACTTTAGACCATCAATTTAGATTATATTCAAGAATCTTGAATAGTGCATATTTGAAAGTGTCATTGCATTTTCATTTATCCTCATAATTTTATTTAAAGACATTGTTCATCTTCATCCACTTATATATATTATAATGATCAAAAAGTATCATGTTTATAGAATCACTCATATGTGAGTAACTAATCGTTCCTGCGGTCTATGTACATTATACAAAAGCTATATACTAAAATTGATATACGTATAAAATGTTAATTGTTTATATACAATGTACATGTACATAATATTTTATGAATTCGAATAAATGGATATAAAACAAATGAATAGTTAGCTAAATATCGCTTTGAATTTCTCTAAAATCCTGGACTATCCATAGGTAGAGGGGAATCTTATTTCCCGAAAAAGAATATATGCAAAGATGATTTTAACATTTGCCGTACATACATCATAGCCGAAACAAAGTTGAGGTCTACGTTTACAGTATCACGCTTTGTTGTATTTGATGTGTGTTGTCCATTGATAGATGCAAGTATGAAGTAGCCTAAAACGAAGTCGTTGAGGCAGTATTAGAAGAGCATATGTTATATCACACTTGATCCGCCAGTTGGCCGTTCGTCAACTGGTGGGAGGTCGTATCTCCTTGACTAAGGTGGAAGCCTGTACCTATCGGTTTTTGAGTCAGGGGGGAAGTAAGCCCCCTGTGTCTCCCTGGGACCGTATTGTCCTTGAGGTGGGTACCCAGACTCTGCTCCCTGTAGCCCCAATTCCTCGCGAGTGGGAGGAGGTGGCATTTCTCCATCAATGCTGTATCCACTAGCCAAACTTTGCTGGGATTTAGCCAGACTGGCCTTTGATCTTGCCCTCCTTCGTTTCTTCTTCTTTGGTTGTACTGGTGCCGTGATCTCCTTTATAGCTGTAGCGGTAACCGTTCCCGTTGCAAGTTTAGACCTGAAAGATATTGTTTACGATTTGAATATGTCTACTGATTCATTTGCAATTCGTTTATGAAATGTGGACTCCTCCCTTTAGATGTTTACCCCAAAAAGTCCTCTTGCGCAAATTTGATAATTACCACCGAAGGATAGACAAAGTCAACCCCTTGTTGTTGTACATTATCAAGTTCAAGCTAGGGTTGTTTGGAGCTTTGAAAATCATTAACTCTGCCATTAATGTTCGACAAGGGAACATTTAAATTCAAACATGAAGTCAGAGAGCACACTATCCATTGGGGTTCAGATTTGCCAATCATTCGGAGGTGGAGTGCAAATAATTGCTGTTTGAAATTAAACTGAATATGACATCACTTACAGATCTCCGTTGTCGTACATCATGTTGATAACTTTGACTCCAGATAGACCGTATCCCCTAAACTGAAACAACAACAAAAGTATATAGTTTTACATAATCATTTCACAGCAATGACAACAATTCCATCATAGTTCATACAACAATTTGTTTTGACGCTATACGCATGTCCATGCATGGTGACTAGATCTGCAGGAAGATGGCAGTACCGAGCTGTCTGATGAGAAGATATAAAGTGGCAAAGCACTACTGCCATATTTCTCTCAACCTAATCTATGTTCATCATATTGTTATATGTATCATAAAATCTGTTGATGTTTATTTAACAAAATTATATATATATTTGAAATCACTAAAAAGAGACTAGAAGTTGTATATATTATTTTTGCATTACATTAATCTATTTTCCAAATATACTTTGTTTACAACGTGGCTTATTTATGAACTCTAACCTTCTGGTGTTTGTTAATCATTTGCTAATTATATAAAATGGCGGTTTGAACTAAGTGTAGTTATTTAGGTGTTTCAAAGAGCAAGAATAATTGACTGAAATGATGTTAGTAAAATACAAATACTAAAGCACGTTAGATGTTAATTCTGAAGAGGCAACTCAAAAAGCAGAAAATGTTCGAAATAGCAAGGCACGGCAATCATGGTCAAAATCAGTCCACAGAAAAGTTGAAATATTGTTGTTGTTCTTATAAAGATGTCGCTTTATGGCAATGTCCGATTTTATAATTTTTCATGTTCACTTACTCGTATTTGTTCCCTCCACGCGTTACTCTCTTCTCGGCCACGTATAATAAGATGAATGGTTGCCCAGACCAAAAGGCATGCAATGCAGATGATTATAGGTCCGATGACCTCCAGCCTGTACACAATGAACGAAACACGTCCTGATGCTCTAAGTCCCACATACAGCAGACCGGTAAACATGAATATAAACGCTAGAACACCACTGATCCACGCCCATTTGATATACCAGTGGCCGGGACCAGCTTTTGTGTAGTTCAGCTGGGTAAGCGGTGTCGGCCCGTACCAATCGGCGGGCAGTTGATCAATAGCATGATCAACGAACTGCCTTTCCTGGACGGTCAATCGATCCATACTTGTCGCCCGACTCCCCATCCTGCTCCCCATTGTGCTTCCCATACGACTCATGTTGATGAGTGTATTCAGGGGGCCTTAATTAAGTTTTGTAATCCACTATTTATGTGCTAGAATTTGTCTTTCATTTCCTGATTAATCCGCCATTTTGTTAGTTTTAGTATTTCGTTATGACTCAAACATGGCCGTTATCTTTGACCCTTTGAATGATAATAGAATTAAATATTAACTTTATTAACCATCATTGAATAGTATAAAGTATGAACAGATAACAGCGACAACATTTTCTTAGGGCAAATGAGAATTTTTGGTTTGAAGTACATATGAAGTGTAAACTTTTGATTAAGGATAAATCACAAGTGGCAACATCTGAAATAGCGTCGACCATTTAAAACAATGAAAAACAAGAGAGTGGAAATGCCACATTTTAGCAAAGGTATTGCGAAAAGAAGTTGAGCTTGCAATTTCAGTAAATAATGTTCTCTGATTCTGACGGAATGGGGGACATTTCATTTGTCACTGGTCCTGCACTATATTACGCTGTTACTGCAACGGATTCGTTTCGATAACAATTAAGATGGGTACGGTTCCGGTTGGAATGTTCGGTAAACCTTATCTCTTTACTGATTTCTCGAGATAGCATAAAGTATTTCGGCACAAACACGAAGCACCATATGTTTATGGAAATCCAAGTGATTTTGGACGAAATGTGGAATGACAGAATCGTCCAGTATAAGCTTAATTTCTCACGTTTGTTACGTAAACGGAACTTCAAAACGGTTAAAATGATCCCGTTGCGTTTACGTAAGAACAGTGAGGTATCAAGTTACAATCGATTATTCCGTTGTCTTCTGAACTATTTGTTCACAAATGTGTACATGTTCTTAAACATACAGTATCATACTGACACACGTTTGTGATAGAAATTAATGTCGTGTTGCCGAAACTAATTTGAAGAGCGCAGTACTAGTGATTATCGATGCACTCCTTCAGTCTCCTTGACTATCGAATCAGACGCATTCAGGCGTAGGCTCAAAATACAGTTCAATACACTGCAGCATACATTGAAGGTTGAGTTCCTTTAGATACACTGGCGGATCCAGGGATCCCATGCCCCCCCCCCCCTTTGTGGGCCAAGAAAAAATATTAGGGCCCCAAAAAATTTATAGGGCCTCAAAATTGGCATTCTGATACTAAGACCATCTCTGTAATGCACAAGGATGGCTGTGATATCTCATGATGCAAAATTGGGCCTTTTTGGGAATAATTTGGTCTTTTTAGGCCAAATCAATATTTTCCTAATTCAAAATATACCCCCCCCCCCTTGTTAGCCCCTGGATCCGCCAGTGAGATGGACAGGTACCAACCGGGGGTACCAAGCTCATCTGGTCTTGGTACCTACAGTATGACGAATTCTCTATTTGGGAGAGCTCAGTGAGAGGATATGCTGCCAAGTTTTGATGAGATAAGACAACTGATTATAGAAGCTTTAAGAGAATTAATTAGCAGAAGTGTGCAAGATAGCTATGAATGGGGTATTGCTACTGTCGGGTATACCGGCTGTGAATTGTAACAAATATTGTTTCATAATAATAAATGTTTTTATTAGTTTATTAAATAAACCCCACAAGTATTGGTACCAAAAATGTTATATCTAACGTACATAAGTTAATTACATTAACGTTACCACCAGAACAACAAAGTTGATAAGCATTAAATTCTGAGTCCTTACATAATCATGCAGTATTCAAATGTCCCCCAACCAAATCACAGACGCCTTAGATATAGAAGATAAAATGTAAAAATGATATCCTATAAATTACTTTAAAACGGATGAATGTAGTCCCATTGCCGCTGCATGTTGCCTAGCTCTTATTCGTAAATTTACTATACTGTTTGTAGTAGCACTATCGGTTCCTGTTGGCAATAATGATGACGCAACTTCCTGTGGAAATAACATACTGCGCATACGTTGCGTTTCTTCTAGTCCTTGTAATGTTGCAGTATGCGGAAACAGTTTTGCCCATTCACGGTTAGCAATATGACCAAAAGGATTCATATCCCCGGATCTTAGTTGAGGTCTCATCTGAGATTGAAAATAGTGAATACCAGGTAACTGATTGTGGAAAAGATCAGCGGGGGATTCAATGTCTTTTTGCGCAACTGGATTACCGTCGGGGAATGTTTGATGTGGGAGGGTGCCTGGTGGTGGCACAAAACACATCGATGAATAAGGCAAGGGAAGGGATGGCCTAAAACGTTCCATAAACATCGCTCTCTCATTTTGGAATGCCACTGAAACGGTAAAATGCACAGATACATGGTGGTTTAATAATGAAACAATGGAATAACTTTTAATTTTAGTCGGAATCTTCCTTAATTTTCAAGTGCAGAGAAATGGCAAGCAAACAGTAATGTACTTGTCGGCACAAAATAGTATTTTTTCTTAAATAATTAATCTATATATAAAATATCAAACACGTCAACATCAGAATATGTCTTGCTATAATGACGTAAGATATCTTACTTCTTGAATGACTTGAATTGAATTCCGCTATTTTCGACAATATTTCGAAATCATTGGGCGACTGGAAGCGCTCTCTTGTGGCGATATCGGTCAATTTTGTAAGATCAATCGGGCCATCTTTATTTCTCTCATTCGTAGCCGTTTCTTCCCCCGACTCCTCATCTACAGCCGTATCTACTTGGAAAAATACAGTTAATCTATAATCATTTTTGTATATAGTAGTAAGTCGCATGAAGATCATTGGGAACATTTTTGAAACGTTCGGATCCACATTACACATTATCAGGGAATCATTTCGATTCAGATGATTCTCGGCACAGAATATAGTTGGCGCATTAGCCTCGCCGTGATCGTCTAGTGGTCAGGACCCCACGTTGTGGCCGTGGTAACCCAGGTTCGAATCCTGGTCACGGCAGTGCCAATCATTTTTGGTTTAATTTTCTAATTCTTGCCGAGGTCGGTCCTCAATCAATTGCAATTAATAAATTACATGGGGTCTGCACCGATTGCTGGATGATATACTATCGATGATTAAGTGAGCAAGGTGCATGGAATAATTATATAAATGGTTTGTATATTTTCAACTCGCAGCTGGGACTATCCAGACTATACGTGAACCTCTATTGCACTCAAAACCCTCCATGACATCAACTCATCATTAAAATAAAATGTAAATTTCCTATGTATAAAATTAAAGGAGACCGAAAATAAATTAAAAAATGAAATATACACAGTTAGAAAGGTACAACCAAAAGGTAAGAAAATACAATTAAACTAAATTTCCAGCATTTCAAACAATACTGATCTAGCTCACATTAATATTCTAAATAGTTTTAAATGACGAGTTTCATTTTCAATTTATTTATAAACTTTAGGAATGTGAAAAGGTCTGAAACCAAAGGATTAAAAAATCATTTAATGAGGAAAAAACTGCCAATATATAAACAAAATAAAAGTCGGCACTGCCGTGACCAGGATTCGAACCTGGGTTACCACGGCCACAACGTGGGGTCCTAACCACTAGACGATCACGGCGAGGCTAATGCGCCGACTGATATGCGGTTCTCAAAATAAACTCTTCTAGAACGCAGCAGTAATTAGTTCCCACTTAAAACCACTCGTAGAATAGTCAGGGCTCACAATCAGATAAAAGCTACAATTGTTTACATAGACAGGATAATTTTTTTTTATGTAGGAATCAACATTTTATTTTCATTGATCTAAATACTAGACTACCAATTCACATTTAGCATGAGTAAATACTATACGTTTCCGTTGTTAAACCGCAACGAAGGACTCGTAATACAATCATCCATACCAATGAGGTGAATATTACTAAATTATGAAGAGTGTCAAATTGGAAACAGGCGTCGGATAAATGCGTTTTGTACTGTATGCATTCAGAACATTGTTATCTCAGTCATTGTACGTGTTTATCATCTATACCGATGTTTAGGCGAGAAGAACACAGTTATCTACAACCGTCCATAAATTTAATTTGGCAACTCGATGTTTTAATTGAATAGCATATCAAAACCTGTCAATGTTTAAATCTTAATTGTGTTCCTTAAATATTATAGTTCGTAAATGTATGATAAATTTGCCGATTTTTTTTATATCGCCGGCATAATCGGACTTTGATCGATAAGTGATCCGAAAAGATAGTTCTTGCTGTCAAACTTATGGAGGGGATTGTAATACTCACAGTTGTATTAATATGTTTTGAGTAGTCACGTGGCTGTGTATTAATTTTAATTGTATTTCAATTTACGATCGCTTACATTAGCTGATTACACTCCCATGAAAAGGTTTGGGAATTCGAACTCCCCATAAAATAGTATGTTATAGCCAATTTATATTTGCGCATTTTCCAACTTAATTTCACGAGCTCGGATATGAATAAACGTCAAACATAAACAGTTTTAAACATGTGTCCTATATGGCAGTTTGCGTAACTAAACTTTGGAGTTGAACGCAAATAACGTTGTATAAATATAGTATTTTATCGAAATGTTACCCCCTATTTTCCATTGTATATATTTCCTCCTGCACAGTATATCTATTCATGTCAAAAATGTTAATTCATGAAATTCAGTATATGTGATATCAAAACAATACATTCCTAGCGGATTTAGAAAAAATATGTGTTTCTACTTTTTAGCAATGCCAACACAAAAACATTTTGAAATAGTCTTAAAAAACACATAGGTCTCATTGTTTATGCCCTAACGTACATGTATGTCACTCTTTTAATGCGCTTATCAATGTCGCTGCTCACTCAAGTAAAGTTGTTAGACCTTGTTTAGGTCATTTTTTAGTAATGATCCCGAAAAGTAACATGTTGACCAAGGTTACAGAGTGACATAAAATATGCGACCCTTTTGTGTCAATAAATAAATAACGTCTTCCGGTATTTTACTCACCAGGCTCGTTGTCAGATTCATTATTTTCCTCGGACTCATTCTGTTCTCTATCATTTCCCTCCATTTTAATTGCTTGAACAGCATCACCTTCTTTACAAACAACAACAGTATGGTCGTCAACATCATCGGTAGTACACGTTGAAGAGGGGTGTTCCAAAAGCTTCCCAACACGCTGTTTCTTTCTGTACTTCGCTCGACGGTTCTTAAACCAAACCTGAAATGAAAAGTGAATTTGTAATATCTGATTTTTGCTTGGATAATATTCTCTGATATTTGAGTTAATCTCAATTAAATAGAATTACTCGAGTGTTCCGAAGAGCGAGAGGGGGTGAAAGAAGAACAATGATCTCGCAAAGACGATGGATTTACCTGGATTCTCGCCTCGGGAAGACTCGTCATTACGGCGAGGCGTTCTCTCATAATAACATCCGGGTAATGCGTCTTGGAGAAAGTCTTCTCCAGCGCTGAAAGTTGCTGGTTCGTGAATGCAGTCCTACTCCGTCGCTGTTTCCTTTGGGACCCGTATCTCGCTTCAAGTATTATATCTAAAATGTGAGAAAAACTTTATATTTTGATTGACTACATATTAAGCTTATTAAGTTAGGGGTATTGTTATAATTGATTGAAGGATCAAATCATAAAGGACTAAGAGAGCATTAGTTTCAATGCCGTACCGAAAGTTCGATGATAAATGCCATGTCCGATCCCGGCGGATATAATCTGTTTATTCCATACATCCAAAACTATCTCTTTCCATTCAATAATTCTGAATACACTGATTATGGTATGAGATAGCTCCTTCAATGTTAAGTTTCATTTTTTAACTAACTGTTTTTTTTAACTATTTTGTAAACTTTTAGCGAAAGTCATGTGATAGGAAGTTTATATTGTATAAATATTGCACAAACTGTTTTCTATTCAACCCCTTTACTTGGAATATGTATAACAATCGCAACGTATACGTTATGTTACATATGTTATCTTACGTTATGTTATATACGTTATGTTATAACATTTTTAAATGATGATCGTGATAGTAAAATCAGCCACTCTAATTTCTTCATGTCACTGGGGTAATTGAATAGAGTAACCAAGGCCTAATGTATAACATATTTTATTTCTACCACATTTCTAACACATTTAAATATCCTAAATGAATCATGGATAGGAACAGAAAATGTTTGCATTTGTATTTGCAAACAGCATTTCCTTTCAAAAAATATCATAAAATAATAATCTTGAATCATATCTATTCTGAATAAAATGAATTGCAATTGCATTATATGATCAAATATAAAGATTATCGAAGAGAAAATTTTCGACTCATTAGGAAAAGGGGGACATCGACAGTTTTTGAACAAATACTATCTTGATAACCTTAACATCAGTGTTGTCTTGAATTAAAGTCGGAACTGTTGATTTTTGATAGTAAATTGACATGACGCGGAATGGCGAGAGCGCGAAATATTGTAAAATTGTGACAATTTTGCTCTCGCGTCGCACCTATTACTTCTAATTATGTTTACCAGAACCAATGCCGGATTATTGAGTAATGAAGTAGAACTTTTAAATCTTTACGGACTTTGTGATAAATACCTGCTAATCTTTCGGCTAGTGTCAGTGCGTGCATCGGTTGTGCAAAACTCCCGGCCGCGGGGATTCCAGACGGTATGCCAAAACCCGTGTATCCAGGCGGGAGAAATCCAGGGGGCACTGCAGTGGGCATAGTCCCCAGTTCTACCCCCTCCAGTACGTTCCTTTGGGGTGGAGAGGTACCAAGTCCCCGTTGAAAGCTGTCCATGGCTAGTCAATCGGATTATAAAACGTACCACTTGTGATCTTAATATTCTGAAAAAACAACGCCAGTACCAAACGGCTCATTCAAGACGAATTCTAATGCAATAAACGATCATCTCATTTGATTAGCAGCTATTGGACACTTGAAAACTGACTTCAAATTTTCGATCGATTTTTGACATATTTACTCTTCATGCACAGATGTACGAAACAACGGCAGCTTAAGATTCCTTGAGATTCCCATTGATGCGTTTATTTACTTGCGCAATCCTTAAATACCATTGATCAGAATTAAAAATGTTATTTCCCTAAATACCGATAACATATGTCATTTAGATAAAAGAAATCTTTGAATTAAGTTCTTAAACTACAACTCTCACATAGAGGAAATATTTATTTTACTATTAACGATTTTAAAATTTCACCAGCAGTTGGCAAAAATGTTTAAAATAACACGCACGCACTTTTCCTCTTTATTATATTTCGAACATCTGTGTATTTCAGCGCTTCAGTTACATAATTAGATCTTTTTCAAATCAATGCTATTAAAACGTATGTTTGATCGAACAGTCTATGCATTTGATATTTTTAGAAAATAAAATAGCTTAACGAAAATATATTGTTTTGCTGTGTTTTGATCTGTAGATTTAATCGTACACAATTGATTTAATCTGGAATTAAAGTCAATCAAGTGATGCTAATTCCATATTAATTTTAATCACATTAATATTTCTAAATAAACGTTTTCCGACAAAACATACAAATTGAATTGAGAATATATCCATCACAATGCGAGGCTTAAATACAATACAATACAATACAATACTCACAATTGAAGCGCTAAATCGTCGAGCTCTGTGTGTCAAATGTTCACTTCACTGTCAACCGTCACTTGATTTGCTCTTAAGGTAAATAAAAGTAATTCGATACATTAAAAGACATATGGTAATCTGTCTGTCAGAAGTTTGAAGTGTTCTAAGTGTCCCCTGGGTCTACTTTTCGATCTCTTGAGACTCCCTGAGAAAACTCCGTAATAATATCCCAAGCGCCAGTCAGCTAGCTATTGAGACCTCGAACCAACTAATCCAAAGTCAAGTTTTCCAACTATTATACCACTAAATATTTTTTGTGTGTTTAGGCTTAACACGCTTAATGTAAAAGGACGGTAATAACAAAATGTTTTACTTTGGGTCAATATTTTCCTTTCAAATTGGTGAATTTACCTGTTTCGCTAACACGTCTCAGAGCGATCTAGCAACGATTGGAACACTATTTGTCTAACATTGTGTCAATAAATCGCTGGAACAAGAAATTGGGGCTTTTCAGATGATCGGATATTAAAATTTGTATAAAGAGCTTAAAACGTAAATCATAATTGGAGAAAAATAAATTTGTTTTTACTAAGGTGATTGAGATGAACACACATCTTGATTTTCAAATAATTACTCTGAGCCAATGTCGAAGTGTAAATTCGGAAATTAAAACACTGTAATTGGTTAATGTAATTGAAGATGTATAAACATGAAATAATTTTCTATTTAACACTCTATTAACTATATCAACCCGTCAAAGAGATCAGCTCCCGAATTTAACTAAACAAATAGACGTTCAATAAGAAACGTGCGATTTTGTAAAAGGTTTATAAACGCCTTATCCCCCTGATCTATTTAGCTAGGTGTTACCATTCACTTGGGGTGTGTTTAAAACTAGTCTTTCTAGTGGCTTTGTGTCAAATATCACCCTAGTATATTGTTTGTGTGTTTGGTACGTGTTCTGATGAGGATTTCTACGATTAGACCGTCCAGGGTATACTTTCTGGGGTTACAAGTCACACAGCTCAGCCAGGACACCCAGGCGGGGCCCTCGTGCCTAAAATGTTTCTTTGACCATGCAAAATGAACGCCAATTCTCTAATTAATCAATAATAAGCCTGATTACCTATTGTATCTATTCTTTTACTTACCATTAATTACGCCATTAGTTAGTAGTGCCATTGACAGTGTATCTCAATTTTTATTTTAAACCGTACATATATTTTGCGCCATGAGCATTCTTGAAAACAGATGTTTTTTGTAGTACTATCATTTGAGGCACGAGCTACATTTTGAAATTAACAATTAATATTTTCAAAATTGAATATGATATCTTGAGATATGTATTTAATTACCTACTTAGTTATGTCAGCTCTGACGTCGTTTGGGCACGTGTCATCTATTTTTTGAAGACAACATTACTTCCAAGAGCTCTATGTTGCGTAAATAAGAAGTGTCAAAACGAGCACCCTTGTATCTTGCCTTTATCCACAATTCTAAATCATTAACAGTAGTCCGAACGTTTTGCCTTGCCATCTACAGCATCTCTACCTCAAAACCTTTTGTTGCTGTTGTTGTTGTTGTTGTTGTTGTAATCCTTTGTTTTGTTTTGTAAATGTATCAAAATGACCCTAATAGAATAGTATAGTGTAGTTAAAAATTCAATTTGTGAGTAGTGTATTCGGTCCGTCAAATAAACAGTTCCTTTTTGATCAATTACATTTTGATAAACAGTTGTTTATCAAAACATAGGAACCAGCTATAGACTATGTATATGTCTCATCCATTAAACATCAACAAATGAACAGGGTGTGTATTCTGTTGTCAATACAAAACTATTGTCGCAAGAATATATCATTTATGATATTGATTTGAAATCGGTTTTAAGCCTTTTGACAAGCTTCCCTTTTGGATTATCCTATCGATTTAAACAACAACGGCGTTTACATGATAGCTACATGTACCGTATTGTTTCAATTTATTTTTCCTCAGCCTTTGAGAATTATTGTTAGTGTATCTTTATACTGATATGTATTTTCTTGATGTGAAACGATTGTGATGTCGTTATATTTAGTGTGGGAATAGCATGCTAGTTGTATTTGTTTGTTGGGAAATCTACGGTGTAGTGTTCATGTTTTCTGCAAGTTATGTAATGAATAAATAACACTGCTCATTAGCCATAGTCATGTTTCTTTGTCGATTAGATTTTTACATTGATATATTAATCATTCAAAATCCTCGGAATAAATACAATATTTTTCCAGACGCATCTCCCAAAGGGATAACAAATTGTGGAATACAAAGTTGTTATTCACAAGGAGGGATTTAATATGGGGAATATCACAAGGATGATATCAATTAATATTTCTCGAGGGAACGCAGTGATCGAGGAAAATATCAATATCTAAAATCCTCTAATGAGAGAAAAAATGATTGGATCTTTAAGGGCAAGAAAAACAAAATACTTAAAACATTGAGAAAATAAGATTATTTCTAAACCCCCAAAAGTATTTAAAAACATTAGGGAACAAATTGGAAAAATTGAAATATAGAAAATTGAACCCTTTGGAAAAAATTGAAAAACTAAAAATGAAAAAATGAGAAATTTGAAAAAATGAAAACATTTGAAGTAATGAAAATTTTTTGAATCCTGTAATCCAAATATCATCCCTATCCAAAATATGTGATTTATTACTTGCTATAATATACTTGATTCTTTACTTTATATTATTTCTACTATAATTGTAATATTTTATTGATGGCCGTACGTTTGGCCAAATAAAACTAGTCCTATATTCCAAAAATATACATTAAGAAAATTCGTTGATATCAACATCAATATCTGCGGTTTTGTATTGCTTTAATTGACAACAAAACATGGCATGATAAAACAGTGGGAAGTCTGAACATGGAAAATATATGTATAGTTATTTCAATAATAAAGGTAACGTCGTAGACACTATTTTTAAATGATGGTTTTAAAAAAGATATGAATGTAATATATAAAACTGTTATTTTACATGTAATCTGATCCCATCTTATTGGATGCAAAGAAATACTGTATGACTTTTGGTTTTGGTAATAAAAAACCTTCAACAAATATATATTCAGCTTAAATTATATTGGGTTAAATGTTATGATAACATGTTTTAAATAAACCCACTTAGAGGTGTTGGGGGTTGTATTCAATAGAGTTAAAGGGTTTTGTCCGATTTATTTGTACTCATTTTGTGTACAAACATCGTGATCCTTGGCAGAGCCGGGGGAACAATACGTCTTAAATGTGCTCCAAACATAATTTATCCTTTCGTTCTACAAATCATGGCTAATCGTGTGGGGTTTATTGTGCGCCTTATAAAGGAGAGTATTAAATTTCTTAAGTTTTTTTTCTAAGACATGTCATGTCAAAAGAAACTTTTTGATTTCATAGTCGACATTATGACAATTGAGTTTAGAAATATACCACTTGAAAATATGTTTCTAACTTTCTGTCTACAATGCATTCTTGGTAGAAATTTGCGGTCAATAATGACCGTTTTGGTATTCCTGTTCTACCTCGCCTAGATGTGGACCCCATATTCAAATCAAATAGATTTAGTGGTTGGACTCAAAGCCTAACTCGAGTGAGAACTCGCCAATAACTTTGGAATCGAGTAATTTTCGAGTTGCAGTCAAAAGTAAAAGAGCCATTTGCACTATTTTGGCGGAATTCTTCCCCAGGTCTCTAGCTAGTCTCTACGATAACTCTTTGGGCATCAGTGCGAGTCGGCGAGTAATTGTATCCCAACGCTTAATAGAGTCAATCGACGGTATTGAATGTAAACATAACCATTTTTTAGCAATTTACTAATCATATATGACTGTCAATGTAGTGAATTATAAGCCGTTAGCTGTTAAAAATAATTTGTCAACATTGTACTATCCATCTATTCATCTTAATATAATATTATCGGGGAACAATCAAATACAATATAGGAAAATACAACATTTTAAATTCCAGATTCGTCAATACAGTACAAAACAAAAAACAACCAAAAACACTTAAATCCATAGTTTAATACAATTGCCAAGGTGTGTCGTTGTGACGTTATAATTCTCAAAGTATTGTTTGTACACGTATTTGCATTTTTGTTCAGTCCAATTATTCGTAGCAACATTCAAATGTGACGTCACAAACAAGTCAGTCGCTAGGACACAAGTTCACAGACAAAATCACTTTCGCTGTTGACACGTCTTATTTTCTTCGAATAAGAAACGGATTTATAGCTTGATATAATATGGATTCTACTCACGGGACATACGACGGCAGTAGTCCCGCGTCACCAGATGAAGTTAGCATCAAGTTAACAAAAAGCAGCGAACGACCATTGACAGATAAATCGAATTCAAAAGGTGGAAACTCTAAAGTAGATCTAAACCATGATGAATGTAATGCTTTATTTGATCGTTTCACTGAAGAGGATATGGTAAAAGTTACAGCCAGAGTGAAGCCAATACCAAGGTCTCCTGAAAAATCTAATAGCTATGGCTTTGACCCATGTTTATCTCCACAAATCCGCGATGGAAATGCACCACGAAGAGGCTCAGCGACACCATCTGTGTCAGCTTCACCAGCCAAACGAGCATTTACAGACACGCGACATGGATTACAAAGGGATAGTGCCACGGACGATACTTACATTGAATATGATTCAAGAAAGAAACATAAACTACATGTAGGTCGCCTGGAACAACTGCGAGAGAATTCAACATTTGAAAATCAAAAACACCGGCAGGATCAAAGTGATATACTTTGCAAGTTAAAAGACGAAGGAATAATCAGAAGGACCTCCAATTGCGATTTGAACCAATCTCCCATCCCTAAAAATCCAATGTATCTGCCTCCTCTTCAACCGATCTCGCACGGTCCACATTCTCACAATCCTACTGCATTCGACTGGAATACTAATGGTGCCCCAAAAGTGCAGGTATATTTAAACCACTTGGATCAAATGGAAACGTGAATCAACATAAATAACTACCTTTTTGATAATTAAACAAAAGTCAGCGTGGTCAAAAATTTTAAACGGTAGGTGATGATTTGGCTTCTCTTATTTTCATAGTCGTTGATGCAATAAATATTAAGTTCTTCAATGATTCAAGTGAAATGCAGAACATATTTGTCAAACGTCAATACCCACATGATACTTAACCGATCTCTTCCATATTTGTACCACTTGCCAGTGATACCGTTAGGCTATTTCCTATAAAAAAAATCAAAAGTAGCCTTAGGATATCACAAGCAAGTGGTACAAATATGACAGAGGCCGGTAGCATATCATTTGAGTATTTGTTCTAACCCTTCTGCTGTTCAATTACAGCAACAGCTGTGTCACAAGATGAAAATGCGACAATTAGAACTAAACGCTAAATCTCAACAGGAAAATCACGATCAGCAGCTGAAAATGAGGCAACTTATACACCAACCAGCTCTCCAACCAATTCCTAAGTCGCAAGGTTTTAATCCCAGCGCTCGAGAAAACCGACACGACAAACGAATGACAAAACTTGGCCTACCGATGGATGGTACGCGTGGTAGGGAAGAATCGCAACGAGAACGAAAGGAAAGACGAAAGAGAAAGAAAGCGCTTAAAGAATCGGCAAAGAGAACAAGCGTAAACGATGATGCGGATAATCAATTGACCAGACAAGATGAGCTGTTTGATGATGGGCAGCTATCTCGCTGCAGTACAAGGAATGAACAGGGATTGCCGTTTAATTTACCTTGACACATTTACAAGTTCCAGTAAAACAAAATGACCTGATATATAAAAAAAACAATCACTTCTAAAATAAATTATAAATCGCTGTTGAAAGGATCGGACATGCGATATCAAAAACCATTAAGATATAGTTAATAAAGTACAAAAATATATTATAACAGACAGAAAACACTGATTTATAAAAATTACAAATACTGAATTTTATTCACGCTTTACACGTGTATATATGAGATGTAAAATAACAAACAGATTTTACATAAAAATAACTGCACACAAATGTTGCATGAAATACTGTTTTGCAAGATCGAGAACTTTGTTATAGTGTATTATTTCGATCGCTGGAACAGTCCATTTGTATTTCTCAAGGCTCTCACTTGGCAACCATAATATTCACGAACTCTGCAAAGAAATTAATACATATATAATGATAGGAGAAGTTGATCTTTTCATCCTCCAAAAACAGGGGTTTGGAATCGTCCTTGATCGATCTCGTCCCCTCCTTTCGCACAAGATGAATAGCCAAAGCAAAATCAATCTACGTTTTCCGTGGATTAGGCTTTTCTGTGTGGATATTGAGTCACTACATTACAAATATTCCGTTCTGATGACGTGGAAGCATGTTCATTATTCCTCGATATCGTTTTATTTCCTGGCACTTCAATCGGTTGGAAATATAATCAAGAAAAGATCAACATCATATTTATGATATTAGAATGGAATATTTGTTTTGTTTTTAACTTTCTGAACATGGGAACTGAAAACACAAAACCGAATCGAATATGTGTACAGTCATGTAGTTGGGAAACAATGTATGAAAGCATTATGTTTTGAGTGGGACAATTTTTATCAACAATTTCAACACGAGCGTGAATGTGAAGAACGAATACTGGCATAGCATTACAAGAGGAAAAAACGTATTCCATGATTTTCCCAAAATGTATTTCCCCAAAACCAATATCAACCAGTTCTGAAATCACACAAAATAAAATTCATTCATAAAATGACTCATAAAAGAGACATGATTTCGATTCCATCATCAATGCTGTTATCAGACGTTATATTCATAATAATATTGAATTGGTATGATCATCTTATACAGACTGCATAGACGTAGCCAGGTGGGGGGAGGGGGGTGATGGGTGGGTTCGATCCCCTCACCTCATAACCAATGAGAATAAAACCATGAGAAAGGGGAAGAAAAGAGCTTTAAAATGCTTTTTATTTGAAGCGTCTATCCATTTTGAATGAAGTTGCATCAATTTTTGTAAAATTCAAAACAAATCTTAATTTGGTTTGCTTATGCCCTTGACTGAAAACCGAAATTTATTTGGCGATCGCACCGCTCCCCTGCATGAAAGCTGGCTACGCCCCTGGACTGACAATGGCTTAAGTTGAAGACGTACATGCACAGGAGTTCCATGCGCTCAACACACTTTGAGAAATTGGTCCCTCGTAAATTGACTTTAGACTGTATAAGTCACACTTCCCTTCAAAAAGTTGGCAATTCTAGGCCTTAAGAATGAAGTCATTATATCCTACCCAGTAGTGACCACCACTTACCATTTTTTTGAAGGAGCGTTTAGCTTTGCAAGGGAAACTGGCTCCTAGACTAGTACAAGCAGAGCGACAAACCATGCACATATTATGTGAAACAAATAAACACCGACACACACAAGAACTGACAACAGGTCACATTTCAGTAATCTACGAGCTTCAAAATCCACATGTAAAAGATAGTCCTAGCTATCTTTGAGAGTATTTTTGCATTTTTCTCAATATACGCATACTATTGTATGTTGGTATGTCAATTTTTGGGCGGCCAGTTTGCATTGATTGTCCATGCAAAAAGTCCCGGTCTTCACTGTGAAAGCACTGTATTAATACGCAAATGGTTATTCGGCGTTGTCATGAAGATGATGACACTGAGCGTCGAAATATAGGTCCAGCAAATACCATAAAATCTGAAAACACAAAATTAGTTTCAAAAGTTTTAAAGGGACTATCAAGCTTATTTTAAAATCAAAAAATATATATCTTCCAGATTCATATGTCAAATGGATGCTATAAAATATATAATCCTATTCTGTTAGTGTTGGCTTCCAAAGAAGCCGTTGATCATTTGAGCAGCAAACTGGCTAGATTCATGCAATGTTATAGGCAAGTTATGTATTAGTTACGGGTATAACAAAGCGTACGGGTTGTAATTTGTACAGTCTAACAGCCAAATGTTCGGTAAAATATGTGAATACAAAACCTATTAATGTCTGTGTTCTCAAAATTTGTCATTTTTTACCTCTGTGCTAGATTGTTCTTTAATTGTTATAGTACCTTCATAATTGACCAAACCGTCACCGTCAAGGTCGGCTTCCCGGATCATTTCGTTTACTTCCTCATCAGTTAACTTTTCTCCTAAGTTCGTCATCACGTGGCGTAATTCACCGGAACTGGAATCCATACACACAGACTTGATGCAAGATAAATACGAATATTGCCATCACGCTTGATTAATGATTCAACTTGATTCAACTTAATGTTGAGACACAAAGGTATAATAACACACCTTTATTGGAAAGGAAGTGTAAACTGTGCGACTCAAATGAAGTTAAAGATGAATTACATTTTCTTGTTAAATGTTCACATTATACAGAATTAAGAGACATGTTGTATCGAATCCAACCTTAATTATGATCACATTACTACATGCAAAGAACATTCAAAGCTGCCTTGCTGCTACTCTTTACAAAATGTTCTCAAAACGTTTATTTAACCTGGAACGTTTGTGATATTAAATATATGCAATATTATCAACCAGTCATAATTACTGTATTCTCATTTATTGCATTTTGAAATCACATGTTTATATTGTATGTTATTTAACTCTAGTCATTTTGTCTGTGAATTGTACACTCTCTGCAAACTTACTCTACATCCTCTGTGATATTATTCGACATACCGATGTTATATTTTTCTATTGACTATCTTTGTATATTTATATGGTGTCTCGTAAGCCGATGTCGGCTGTTGGATTTTTTAATACATGTATTTTACTTGTAATATTTTAGTAAACCTGTGACACAGAAATAAACTATTATTAAACTATTAATAAATGTAGTTGCCATATCGCAGGATTTTTAATATCAAATTAGAGTTACATCCCCTACTGCACAAGCAAAGAAGCGCGTAAGTTTATCGCAAATGTACAAGTCTAACATGACGTCACTTGCGACATCTTTACATTTTAAACCCACCTTATAAAGCCATTGCCATCTTTATCAAATACTCTAAACGCTTCCCTTAGCTCTTCATCGCTGTCAGCATCTTTCATCTTACGCGACATCATAGAAAGAAATTCCTCAAAGTCTATGGTGCCATTACCTTCAACAAATACTTGATAATTGTAAAAGCTTATATAATGATCAGACGTTTGTTGCTTCAATGAAATCTTATCGTTTGAACAAGATGACGTTTGTCACAAGCTGATACAGTACTCATCGCATCTTTCTGTTTTTCAACTATTAGGAAAAAACTAATGAATGCCAGGAATTCTCATATTGTTTTGTCATACAATCCAAAACTGCTAAACTGGAAATTCCAGTTACCAATTGGAATTTGAAGCTAGCTTCATCACAAAATGACAAATTATTAGTTTCAATTTGATAATCCTTAAATCAAAAAGGCTAGATAGACTCAGACATTTCCAACAAAAACAGTACATTTATTTTAGAACATGATTGAATGACTTGAAGTTGCGTTAGGTAATTACCATCGGCATCGACCTCATTCACCATATCCTGAAGCTCCGCTTCGGTCGGGTTCTGGCCAAGGCTCCTCATCACGATGCCTAGCTCCCCTGTGGTAATCGTGCCATCCTGGTTCTTGTCAAACAACGAAAATGCCTCTTTAAACTCTGAAATGATAAAGTAAGGGTAAGTATTGAAAAACAAAGTTTGTATTAATCATTAATTAATCATTAATCATTTTGAAAATCTGCCTTTGAGCAGAACTGGATATCCTATGGCATGGAACACCTATGATTATATACGAGTATCATATATAAATGATGTTGGACGAACGGTATTTGAGTTATTGCCCGGACGGATGGACGAACGGACGAAGTCGTCTTCTATATCCCCCAAATGTCCGATGGGATAATAACTATAAATATCTTAATTGATTATTGCCACGTTCCCCCACACCCGTGAACTTAGCCCCTGTCTTTTAGTCGGTACAGCAAAGTCGTGCAAACTCACATGATGATGTCGATGTCTACTGTTTTAGAAGGAGCCAGAGGGCCTTTTGGTCATTATTGGGCCTTCTAAGGCCTTATTTTTTTAATTTTAGGCCAAATTTTGAAGAAAATGGACCTCAAATTTTCAAAATTTGGGCCCACTTTTCGGTTTTAGGGCCCCAAAATTTTTTTCCGAGCAAGCGCGGCGGTTTTTTCTCTGACCTCAAATTTGCCCCCCCCCGTGTTGGTTCCTGGATCCGCCACTGCCTGGAGATTGTAGGCCACCACTAACTCACTCAAGGTTCTACAACATGAAACGGCAAAACAGTGCTGCCATCTTAAAAAGGTTTATGGAACTTTTCATTCTGATACTCATCACATCTTTCTGGTTTCACCAGACACATTGCTGAGAAAAAATATCCAAATATATATGTTAATTTTGATGATAACTGTAATTATTAGGTTGTAATTTCACCATGATCATGCTTTTGAATAGTAAGTGTACAAATAATATATTGTATATTGCTAATGCATATATGAGAGCTCTGATCGGGGCTCTGATACTGCCATTTACATGAGATGGCCGAATTTTCTTTCCTTCAAATTTATAATAAAGATTGTGCAAAAGGCGTGACGTTATAAACCAATCTAAATACTAATCTACTTTGACACCTCGACAAGTCCTAATCGCACGGTATAACCTAACACCCCTCTGATTTAAATGGACTGCTCTAAGCTATTGGAAAGTACATTGTGTGCTTTTAATGACCTTATGTGGTGAATTTGAAAGGTGGATATATTGAAAGTGAACAACGTATAAGTCCAGCCAAAAACTCCACAGGGTTTAAATAGTTCGGACCGGGAGAAACCAAAGAGAGACGGTAAGTTTCTAATTCATTGAGTGATAATGTGACTGGTATATAATCAACCGCTTGTCCGGACTTCACAGGACGTTTTGAAGCACATAAAAGTAACTGATATTAAAAATACATGTTCTGTTTGATACTTGTTTATATGACATATGATGTATCGTAACTTATCAAATTACACGAATTATAAAGAGTTATTTTAACCGTTTAAGTCGAGTTGTATATCGTTAACCCAAATGCAGTAAACGACGATACGCAGTACACATATTTTGGAAGTGAAAAATTAATTTACAAGTGAATAAACCACTATTTTATGTCTCATCTGGGCTGATTTGAAATGGAGTCAAGATGACACTATTTCGTTTTGAGATCGCAATGGAATGTTTACCACAATGAAGGTGTGCGATTCGAAAAATTAATTTAATTTAGTTAAGGAAAACAATTACTTAGTCCAAGTGAACTATAATAAAAGTACATGTAACGTACAGTTTACTTTCACTAGCGTATATCCTCAGCGTGAGGGCTAGTGCCCGAGGAAGAATTGAAGGAGGAAATCTTACGCTGGAAATGATAACTAACTCACAAGTATTTCATTCTATAACTGCAACAATATACATGTCATTTTTATGACGAGCTCAAGGCACTCCCATTGAAGGACTTGGCCCCAAGGCCTAAAGTTCCTTGTTAACTAACACTAAGTAATTAATTGCATTAACGCATTGATTGCTTTGATTGCATTGACAAAATGTTAACACGATATGTATCCGAGTCATGATCACGCAATTCAAACCTTAACAAGCACAGAGTTCCAAGTTCCAATACGTATGTGTGAACTCACTAGTATATATATCTAAATCCCCACTCAAAACTTTCGCTAAATAGGCCACCCTGCAAATAAGATTTACAGGTATATTCTGTAAATATTGAAATTCCTTTCGTGTGCAAAGCCATTTTATTTGTATAATTGCTAAACTTTTATATGAGGTACGTTTTGAAAGTAATGTATGTGTCGTGTAACAATGTTAAGCTTTAGTCAGTGCAGACAGCTCAATTCAGTGTCTGACATTAGAAAAGGATGAAGAATGAATTTGAGAGACCGATTTGCAATTCAAATTTATTTCAGTTCTATTTTAAGAATAAATGATTGCCTATATCGAATTATGCAGCACTGTTCATGATCGCCATCTCATCCATGAGGGCATGGATTAGAACGGAAATGTGTGACATGGGCCTAAAGTGCTAGCAACGAACCATTTCAATATACTGCCATGGGCCTCAATATTTATGATTTTGTTTAAGTACTGATAACTCTAGCGGGACGATGTCGATAGACGCTGGTCTCCCACCCTGTAATGTTTTCCAACATTTGCAGCTCATTTTAACATATTGAATGAACCATTAAGTTTACAGGTGCTTTAAGCCAAATTAAGTATTGGCAAAACTATAAACTAACTGCCAAGTTCACATCGTGAAAATAACAGCTTCATTGAGCTTACCGATGTTTGTTTGGTTTCCATTGAGGTCTTCACATGTATGATTTTAATCTAATTTTGATTGCCGACATGCCTGGATGGCTGCGTTCGGATGACCAACCACCAACGACGCCACGTTTTCTTATCGTTTTTAGTTATCTTAGTCCTGGGGTCCAATCTCGATTTGTCCTCCATCTTTCATATTTCCTATGTTGTGTAGTGGAAGGAGTATTGATAATCAAACTTTCGAAAGGGCAGGGACAAGCCATCGTGAGAAATCAGCAGGGCCTTCCACTGTGTGATCCACAGCCTGTTCTATCACTTGAAATACACAGGCTGTCCCTCTCAAGCATTAAGAATGATGCCTTCTATCAGTTCCTTTCAATTTTTATATTTCACATTATATTATCTTGTTGAAAAACAGAAAGATGTGATAAGTATCAGGATGGGGGCCAGTAGTGCACTAGGATAAGGGCAGGATTTAAGACATTGCGAAAATAACCCAGAATTATTTCCAAAAATAATTACATTCCCCTGTTGTCATATCATGTTGGTAATGCTCCAATATTCCATTATCATATTGGCCGTGCCACTTATCTTGTACAGGGTGGGCATATTAAAGTACTTGTTCAAAACAGGCACATGATATAGATCACTTGGTAAACTTGACAGAATTAAACTATTTGCTGCATATTATAAATCTCTTCATTGTTCATCGAATCGCGAATAGATTTTCTATGGTGCATTCTTTTTTATGTATTGGGAGCGGGTTTCAAAAGAGCCATGAATTTATTGGGCCACCCTGTATATATTGCTTTTACATAGATAGCTCAATTGCTTTGCTATCGCTGGTTACACAAACTGAAGATTGAAACCTTTGTATGGTAAGAATAAGTTATCTAAGTGCAAATATTAGTATCATGAAAATAGTCTTGCACCGAGCTCATTACCCTTGTAGCCCCCCCCCCCTCCCCGTACTTCTCAACACCTAGCCTGCAACGCCACAAAAGGAAGTGCATACGTTTAACAGATAATTGTTGACGTGTTTAAGTAGCATAAAGAAGGTGACATGCATCCTGTGAAACAATGCGATCATCCTCATATTTATTGTCATGTTGTTAGGGAAACAGAAAGATGTGATGTGCATATAAGAAAGTGGGACATTCTTAAACGTTACTTCCAAATTGTAATTATATTTCATCAATATTTCACTAGAGAAAATACATTTATGTCATGTTCTTATTGTTAAACGTAAATATGCAAGTACAGATACCCTAAATAGACGATTAACTCCTATTTTAGTGCGCAGTAAGATAATGCGATCATGTCAAAATATAAGGTAATCTGGATTTTCGACCATTAGGCGACACTAAGGCAGAGAAGGTCTTCTATCTTAATATAATGAGTGATATATAGAATGGGATATTCACCTTTATTTCTCATATGATACATCATGCTTTTAATGTAATTATAATCTAATCCTCAATGATATAATTAGATAATCTACAACTTCTAAATTAAAATTGAAATTGGACGTTCATAAGCAACCGATCTGGTTAAGATCTATCTTGTTAATTTATTAATTAAATGGGTCTCATTGTGATAGTTTTAATTGATATGTTTCATTAAAATGTTTTTTTTAACTTAACTGAGACATATAAAAAATATAGTAACTTAAATTAAATGCCTTTCGGGCGTTGCGTATGATAAGTGTGGGACACTATGTCGTGTCCTAATATAGAATTTTAAGTTCTTGGCTGTTGCAGGGTGGAGGACTTGTTGAGAATTGCAACCATTGTCCATTGCAAGGTTACATACTTCAAGTCCAGGTCGTCATAAACCGGTAAGTGCACTAATTATACATGTAGGCCTATTATTAACTTGCTGCTCGAATAGATCATTTACATTCACAAAGCATTTGAAATACCAAACATTGCAAGTCAAACAAAAAACGTAAAATATATGTTAACGTAATGTACAGGCCGGTTAGATCTGAATCATTTCGAGTTATCCGATAAGACAGGTAGTCCAGCTACAAACCCTTGTGAGCCCCCCTCCCCCCCCCCTCTCCCAAACTACACAACTGCGTTGGTACTATTTGCCAAGATATTGACCTCCAAATAGAGGCGAAGTTGGTTAATTAGAAAATACGCTAGTTCATGTCGAGTAAATTCTACCTCAATACTCAGGAATATAAGGAATAACTGGCTCATAAGAGAATACGAAATCAAACTTTAAAAAATGGTAAGTTAAGTCATATTGAACTAAAAGTTGCAACTAACATTTTATTTACTTTTTCTGCGGGAATTTTGACTATTCCCTAATTGACCACAATGTCGCATCATTCAGTATTTCAAAACACAAATATGGTTTGGTGGGATTGAAACGTTGCCTTTTTGGTTTACATTGGTCCCCGATCCAATTCCTATGCCACTGGTGATCCACTCGATTACGCTGGTTACCGAAACGGTGCGTAATCGAGCGGATCACCAGTGTATGCATACCCTTTGCATTCGTTTGACTTCACTTCTTAAAAGAGAGCCTTGTCTTCGTGTAGTTTAACTAGACTCTGCACGCAGGGTAGTGTATGCACTATGCATCCTGACAGAAATGATCACATAATTGGATTCAGTGTATATGAACTGTCCTCATTTCGATAATATTCAATACTTGAATTGAACTGAATCATAGGTACTGAATCATAGCGCAATTAAACCAATCCTATAATCCTAAACCTTTTATTAACTCATTAGTTGAATCAACGCAGGGTTACTAACACGATTAATCTTAGACTCTTTGAACCAAATATGCTAACGTTAAAAAGTAACATATCGCGATAAGTCATTCATTATAAGATCGGGATTAATCTTAGAATCTTTGAACCAAATATGCAAACGTTAAAAAGCAACATAACGTGGTAAGTCATTCTTCAAGATAGGGATTTGCTGAGATTATGGAAAGAAGTGAAATACCCTTGGACCAAAGATGTACCTAATTCAAACTGAGGCAAGAGCAGGCCTTCGAAATAAAAATGCGTTTGGACATCGAATTCATTGAAAGATGTCGCTTTACATTAAACGATTTAGCTCTCCGTTTTTAATTTCGACGTACATGTTGATTTTCAAGGTTTTTTGAAACAATACACAGGACTTTTAAATTTGAACATTCTTCAATATATTGAGCTATCGGTACCCTTTTAACAAAAACTCGGATCGGAATCATGGGTTCAAAGGTACAGGGAAACATAGAAGATTAATGAAATGCAAATAAAGTTGCTGTTTGTCAGTTTGTCAATTTCCAAACTTCATCCAAATCTAAGAGGAGGGAAAGCCCCAGAGCTTTACCGATGACAGACATATATATATTATATTACGTCTCTTGCGTACCACCTACGTTTGCGCAAATTTCCATTAGTTCGTTTTCGAATCTAACGCGTCGTTGTGATATTTTAATCGATGTAAGCATGTTCCTGATATCTTTCTTTATCTTGATGTGAAATAACAAGCTATGATATTGGTTAACACGCCAGGAATTAACACAATATTATTCGAAGCGTTATTAGAAAATTTTGAATCCGCCATTTTTGTTTGTCGTTTTGACCAATCAGAGACGTGGGTCATCTCAATACATATTTACATTATAAGCGTATGTCATATTTGAACTCTGGGGTTAATCCCCATCTTTCCTTGAATCTGTTTCTTTGAAATTTAATACCCGGCCCTTAGGATATGTACCGAACGAAACTACAATTAGCATTATTGCGCATATACCCTCACAAAATGATATAAATCGACACTGGTATTTAGTAAAAAATCGACTTATTCGGGCAAATTTCTCTCGCCCCAATAGCATCAAATACCCAATATAGTTGAGTTGTATTTTGAAACATCGAAGTTCTCCGTTCTTTATTTTGGTTAAAATAACCTAGAACTGCAGAGCTTGTAAACAGCTTTCTTTTTGTTTTAAACGTCTAGCTAATCAATCATAATGGAACTAATCCAGGAATGTTGCATTGTAGTAGGCTTATTGCCCACGTCTTATAGAGCTTACATAAATTAACGCACTATTGTGTATGTTCGTAAATATGGTGTAATTATGTTAAAATCGCTTTCTAATATGTGGAGCATCTAGGGCAGTTTTAAAGGTGAGAAGAAGTGAGAAGATCATCCCTTCTTTATGTTAATACCAATATTCTTCGGAAGCATAGATGCCCGTACAAACTATTTCAGAGAGTTGGGGTTCGCTATACCTTTTACCGGGAAATAATTTGACCCTTGAACAATTTGAGCATTGCTTTAGAGAAATTGAACCCATCGTATTATCACTAAGGTCTACCATAAACCCATCTTCGGATTTGCAGTCAAGGTGGGTAATGTATTTTTCAATTATTTATTTTTCTGAAAAGGAGGGGGGTTTCGGGTTTGAAATGTACTATTCGAACTTGTTTATGATAACTTGAACAACTGTTCAGGGAATCTAAACTCATCTTCCACTGTAAAACTCGGACGGGAATTGTGTAGACATTTAGTGCAAATGCTTCCCATACTCAGTCAGGTAAGTTCACCTGATATACAGTAACCGGCTCTGATCCAAACACATGCTCCAATCCCACTCCCCTCCCACCCAGACACAGTATAGTTTTCTCTCTTAATCCATTTAGTAAAACTTACCAGTACCACAAATAAATTCAAGCCGCTGTACATAGTAAAATGTATTACACAAAAATTAAAATAAATGTTAGCTTATTTATTTAGAAAGTATTTTATTACTATTTTGACCGATACATTTTTGCCGTACAAGTTAATCATTATTTATTCAAATAGTGAAAAAGTACCTCCCCTCCTAAACTTAGAATGGTCAAGCCCAGATACTATAGAAAAAGTAAATGATGCAGTTATTTTCATCGATATAATTAAACCCAAGGAACTTAAGACTTGCGGATAGCACAATCTTCAATGATGCATCTCGTTCAGGCTTGCCATGTCTTTCTTTTTGGGAAGGAATGCACTGAACGAAACAGTGCGCAAAGATTTCTCTACCCAACTGAATTCTGCAACTTACCTGCGATTTGTTCGTCCTTCAAATCATGATTCACCACGCTCTGAAAGCAAAGAATAATTGATCAGTTTTATGGTTGATATTGTTTAATAAGGTTGTCTTTCTATTTTTATTTATCGTCTGTTGTGTCTCTGCCCCGGGATCTCTGCCTCTCTAGGTACGCTCCGATGGGTATCTGAGAAGTAAATGTTTGATACATTGGAAAATCATTATTTGATATGTTTACCGGGGTTATAAGTGTTGCTCCCCATGAATTATAAAGTTGTGTCGAATAACAGAATGTGCAATTGGCAATATTTAAAGAATCCAAAAGAGTTGCATGAACATTAATTGAATTCACAGTTTGATATTGCTTATTAGGGGTTTTCAAATGCTACCCAATTGCAATGGAAGTTCCGATAATTAATCAGACTGTCATATCGACTTTTGTTCAACATTAAGCATGTTAAGTACGCTATAATAATCTCAGATATAATTTGATATTCCTAGATTGCAAATTGTGGATCGTGTTGAAAGAAGAAAATATGATGTACTAGGTGCAAGTGTTCTCTAACCCGATCGTGGCCCATCTTGCATTTCCAAGGTATGATGTTTTCGATTGAAAATCAAACTGGGAAACGAGTATGATCCAGTCCCTTGATATAATATACAATTACTATTACTCTACAACATTTCCTGTGCCGGCACCTCGAAGATTAAATCCCACGCCTTATATCATTTCATAATTGCAGTTAACACCCTGAACTAAAAATATCAGGACATGATTCGGTAAAGTTAAGTAGACGGGGGGGGGGGGTCACAACAGGGGCTTGTAGCATTCTACTTTCGTTTGCATTAGCACCTATGCAATGAATTCCTTAGCACATCACACGTCAGTGTATTCTCCGTAATTCGGACTAAAGACATAACTGGGGGCAAGAAAGCGAAACTTGTATGGTAGTCTTGCATCAAACTTTTACGAGCCCCTGTTACACGACCCATTTTCTGTGTAACACAGATTCGGTAAATCAAGTGGTAGACCAGACTCACCCGAGTCTCACACAAAGTGGCCGTAGAATATTGAAAGACCAGACACTTAAGAATTCAAGACGAAGAGGCTGAAAGTAAGGGTGATAATAATTTAGCTACGTCCCCTTACTTCATCCTCCTAAGCAGTTGTCCAGAATCCGTACCTCCTTCTGGATTTTGAAGCCCTGTGATCGGAGGATGCCTTACTTAAACTCACCTGTTTTCTTGCACAGGGGGAGCACGTGACCGACATAATAACAAGGTAAACTTGACGTATTGTTATGTCAGAATGATAAAGCACTGGTCTCTAGAGCAACGCTTCCTATAATAAACAAACAACGATAAAGGTCTTCCCCGCAGAATATGCATCGGGAAATTAAATTGCCTTAGTTACACGATTGTTTCATAGAGTTTGAGACAACTTTCAGGAGTCGTAAACTGTGATACTTTCCAGAAGGTATTTGATGGATTTTCCAGTCCTGGTAAATCCTTGTAGCAGTTGATACCCCTTCCCTAGATTCGTCCCTTACCACGATTTGCTCTTTTAAATCAATGGGTATATTTTAATTTACAGTTGACGAAACTGTCACAATGATGAGGCATAATGATGTATCAGACAGTCATCAGAAGAATATAGAAAAAGCCCAAATAGTTCCATTGTCTTTTTAAAAGTGAGCATCATCTACTGTCTTTAACGTACTCGGCTCTATCAATTTCTAATACAGCTGTAGTTTTAGTTTTTAAGAATAAAAATGCGTGGGCACGCTCATCTCTATCTTTTACCGTTCTCCTGATTTAGTAACGTGGTGCGGTTTTTAACTCTATAAATTCAGATTACTTTGTCTTTCCCCTGATTGCTATCGTCAGTATGTCATGATAATCCGAAGCTGCAACGGGGTATTCCCATAAGTACAATAAATGATGTTAGGTAGTAATCAGGACATCTTTGAGTAGATCTATAATTAGTTTGTGTTGTCCTCTGTAAAGTGTTTCTCACGTGAATCTGTTCCACTATTGCAATCCTTTCAGATGTCCTTCTTGAAGGCCCCTGTGACTCCTCCTCATGAACACACCACCCAACTGTTGGTTGATTGGTCGGTTTAGGTTAGGCCATTTAATGACTTATTTATTGTCAAGGTTAAATAGACACGTCATTTTTATCTCCCTAAGGAGAAGTCTCTCAACTCGAATCTAACCCCGTGTTGTTAACCTTGTCCCATCTCGTTACCTACAGTAGAGTTGTTCCAAATTCCTTTTAATATATTCGTACAGACGAAATAGATAAGGATAGCAAGACACAAATAATGGATGCCAGATTATTCGTTTCAGTCATATTCTAAGCTCTGAACTGAGTTAGGCTAAGTTTAGATCAACTGATACCTTGTTGTGATTAAAGACACTTCTTGCTACACCTTCTTATGATCATAAGCCTGTCTCGTATATCATACGATATGATCGATGCTTAATTAGTTGATGAGCAAAGTACGCTTTGTTAGTAGAATTGTCACTTATCATCTCTGTTGCCAATGAGCTGGGGGTAGTTTAGAATGAATATCACTTGTTCGGAATGATTTAAACTACCTCCCTATCTAACTAAAAGATCTCTGCTTAATTGGATCGCGAGAAAGTGACAGCCTTTTGCATGTTCTATTAATTCTTCCTATTGTTCCAGTAACACATCGCCTGTTGCAAAACAAGCCTGCTAATCAGAATGGTCTTCCTGTCGTGGTTTCGACTGGCTCCTTCTATTTTACTAATATCGTATTGCATAGTATCGTACGTATCGGATCGTATTGTATTTCATTAATTAAAATCAACCGATAAAAAGTCAATTAAAGGTATGCCCGCGGCTATATACTCGTATTTGCATTGAGAATAGATGTTCCTACTGGGCCGATTGTCTTTTCGCTCATCTCAATACATGTCATAGATCTGTCTACTCAGTGAGTTAGTTCCCTTTAGCAGAAATAATTACAATGACAGCTGGCGATTTATTCTTTCTTACACGGTCCAATTCGTAGGAGTCACGATTGGATAGAACCTAACTCGAATATCGATTCAATATTAAATAGTGCTCTTTCTCTTATTTGAGATGTATTTCTTAAAGGTACGATTCTTTTATTTAGTAGATTAAAGAGCCCATCCTTGATTCAAGGTTGTGTCGTACGTGCATAAGTTGCCGATTGACGCGAAGCCCGGCGGTAAAATGGCAAAGGATCAGTGGACCACGTCTACTGAATTTGCCATCGTTTTGCATTATCCTGATGTACGTATTTAAATTACAATGTGGACAACAAAAAAAGAAAAAAAGGTAACTTCAACTTTAACTTTAACGGGCCTGTTAAACTTGCCTGTTTTCACACTAGGACAGAATGAGATTTGGGCGTTGGTAGAATAATCGAGGAACTGGCTGATAGAACGAAAGCATCATACTGAGCCAAAAGAAAGCTGAAGTGAACATCGGGGGTCTGAATGCGTGTTTTTGCTATGTTCGACTCGTTTATTTATTTATTGTATCAGTACTGACAACACCACCCACAATTCCAGAGGCACCTTGACCTCTTACCTTTATCAAAGCCAAAAGTGTATCAGAGACTTGTCTACCGCTATGCCTTTCAGCTAAGTACATTGAAAGATTACTGTTTCATGGATTCACTTCGTCAAATTGTGCTGCATTGAAATAAGTATCAGATATTACATGTACAGTACATTTGCATGTACATTAAACGGTTTTCAGAGATATTGTAGTCAAATCTACCATATCATTCACTGGCGGATCCATCCCCCTTGGGTCCAATAACTTTGTGGGCCTCAATTAGTTGGCCTTTTTAGGCATCACTTGTCATTTTTAGGCCTTTTATGCCAAATTATCAAAGGGGGCCAATTTTCTCTCTAATTTGAAATGTCCCCCCCCCCGCTAGCTTCTTGATCCGCCAGTGGCATTGCTTCCTTCTTGGCCTGACTGTTATTTTGTGTGTGTGTGTGTGTGAATGAATGTTAGCTCTGGCTGTATGAGCCTTAAAGGCAGAATCAGCTCTATGGGGGTGACAAAATTACAAGCAACAATTGCAATTGACCTACCAATCTATTCCTCAAATCTCAAATACAATATCTCCCAAACGATTCACGATAATTCAAGATCAAATATAAATTGGTGAAGTTATAAGGGATTCAAAGTGCAAAAATGGGTGAAAAAATGTTTAAATTCTCCCGAATAATAAAAATGGTAACCATTCTTATAGAAAAGTAATACATTATTGTAAAAATCTCGAGTTCTCCTGAAATAAAGTGTGCACTTTGGGGATTTTTAGAAAATAGACATGAAAAGGAATGACGTGAGCCAGAAATATTCTAAAATTGAAACAATTCTTTGTTAGGCTGCTCGCTAGATCTGATTCTCTCTTTAACACCTGTTCCCTCTTGTCAAATTGGCTGATGAAACAACTTATTTTTTACCCTTTGCATTCGTTCAACTTCACTTCTTAAAAGAGAACTTCGTTTATAACTAGACTCTGCATGCAGGGTACTCAT